GACTTCGCGTTCACAAAAAAATTACGTAACGGGGGAGAAGTCCGTTGCACCCAAAAGTAAAAGAAAGCATGAAGTAACTTTTCCATGGTGAACCATTGTGCATGCATTATGTGGTTTGATCCTTCGGAAACAACGCTTCGAGTCGCTCGCGCGAGACCAAAACCTCTCTGTGCAGTCTCACAACAAACCAGGTATTGTGACGACGCGCCGTACGGTGAACCGGCCCGCCGCCCGCCGCCCGCCGCCCGCCGGTCGCCGGTGGGTGCGGCTTTCGTAATTTCTTTGGACAGACACTTAAAAGACCTTTTCGTATTCCGCAGGCAACCCCCGCGGGTGTGCACGGTTTATGGGGTAAACGACATTAAAGATGACACCCGTGCTGTTTACATGCCTTTTCCATCAAGGCTAACTAGTTGTCGATGTGTTTCTTTTATTTTAACGAGAAAATCTTCTTTTATTCCAATGTTGGGCGTCTGCAACCCTCTGATAAAGGAGTTTTCATTTTGCATACAAATGAACCCACCCTGCGTGAGCTGAAATAATATATGACAGCCAATAATTCGAAGAAATAAGTCGTCAATTTTCGAGGTGAAACGCAGCGAGGGGACGCATCTTTAACAATTGAACTTGTGATATTTTCGGCTTGTACTCGCTCCCCAACAACAAAACATTTCATTGTGAAATCGCTAATTTTTAGCATTATAAAAGTTCTTCACTTTTGCATATATAAGACATGATATAGGTTGGTACCCAACACCCTATCATGTTCAAGAATGGATTGGAAACCAGTTCAGTTGCTCGACAGGTCTGTTTGTTATGTGCGCAAACGCAACCTGAAATAAAACGCTACTTATGTGGACGCCCCCCTCCCATTAAAAATAAACATACTTTGGGGGAGGGGGGATTGAGCAGTACTCCAAAGAAAACACAGGGCCTAATTGGGTACATTTAAAGAAAAAAAAGGAGAAAAACATTGTCCAAAGAATAATAAAATAATTACATTTACAGGGAGCGTAAATAACACATTCTTATTGCTTTAATTTTGAGCTGCAGTATTAATTTCATCAGATTTATATCCAACAAAGCGTGACGTCACTAAGTTATGTCTTAGGTCTTTTTTGGCGACATGCAACCACTTCCGGGTTTCAATACCGTATCATTCTTAACATGCAACAGGCCTACACCGCCCAAACACAGGTAAATAGCCAGTATATGCCCCATTCGCTCTTGTATCACGAGAAGTTGAACATGCGAAGGCTTCCATTACATTTCAATAACGTTTACGTTTTGAACAAAAAAGTTACGTAACGGAGGACTCGTACGAACAGTGCGCTGCACCCGTCGTGAAACAAAGACCGTATCTTGATCTATGAAAGCAACTCTTCCACGGTGAAACCAATGAATTGATCTCTGCAAAGAAGCTGGTGAACAATAGTATTCGGAAACAAAGCTCAGGAGTCGCTTGCGCGAGACCAAAACCTCTCCCTCGGTCTTTAAACAAACTATACTAGGAATAGACGACACATCGTGACCAACATAACCTGCTCCACACATGCTCACACTACTCCCGTCCCTCGACTATGTGATAATACGGGCACCCGTACGATGAGCCGGGCCCGCCGCTTTCACAATGCCTTCCGAACAAGATACTTTTGCGATACGTGATAAAAAAAAAACCACCGACATAAGGTCAAATTGAAAGGACTTACCTGTATATGTTCAAATGTTTCGTTATAGAAGTCAGTTCAGTTCAGTTCAGTTCATTTTATTTCCAGCGTTCACAAATCAGTGTATGGGTGCACAAAAATTGCACCAAAGTCCGTTTCGAACCCCGGACCCCGCGGTCTGTGGACAAGTACCCTAACAACTAGGCTATTGTATATACAGTCTTTAAACCACTGAGTCTTAATATTTAGTTGGAAACACTTGGAGGATTGTTAGCTCAGTCTGCGCTTTGTATTCATACATGCGTGTAAGAAAAAACTTCTAAACTCCCGTAATAAACAAAACGAATTAAATGACTTGTAAACGAACCTGTTTCATTAAGGCACTTTTTCTGATTTTTTTTTATTCGTATACGGTACATTCGCCGTTTACAAAATTTATTCTGCTGATTTTGATATGTGGTACTATAGTTATTTATTCCTGACATTCTTTTGTTGGCTTATAAAATTATTGATATGTACCCTTGTTTTTCTTTGAATGTAAACATTTTGCTTGATTGTCACTTAGTGTCTGATCATTAGGCCTACTGTGTTATAGGGCCCATGCCTATATACAAGCTGTGTTTTCTTATGGACTTCTCTACAATTTTTACTTGGACATGTACATGTACACCCTTACATACTGATTTGTGAACACTGGAAATAAATGAACAGAACTGACTTCTATAACGAAACATATGAACAGGTAAGTCCATGTTGCAGTATTCACTGACTACTCGATGTCCTTTCCTCTTTCCTTTCACTTTAACCTTGTGTCTGCTTTTAATTTATTTTGTTGTAGAATTTTAAGCTAACATTTGTAAGATAGGTTCGGTTTTCACCGTCGGTTTTTTTTATCACGTATAAAAAATAAAAGTATCTTGCTAAGGCACTTTGAAAGCGGCGGGCCCGGCTCACCGTACGAGTGCCAGGGACGGTAAGCAAGACTTGTGTGGAGCATGTTATCATGTTATGTTGGTATGGTCACGATGTGTCGTCTATTCCTAGTATAGTTTATTTATAAGACTGCGGGGCGAGTTTCGGTCTCGCGCGAGTGACTCTTGAGCTTTGTTTCCGAATATGATTCTTCACCAGTTTCTTTGCAGAGGATCAAATCATTGGTTTCACCGTGGAGGAGTTGCGAACAGTATGCGCTGCACCCGTCGTGAAACACTGTCCGCAGAGTCCTCCGTTACGTAACTTTTTGTTCAAAAGGTATAGTTATTGCAATGTGAATGGAAGCCTTTGCCCGTTCAACTTCTGCGCTTTTGTTCCAATATCGTGATACAAGAGCGAATGGGGCATATACCGGCTTTTATTAACCTGTGCTTGGGCGGTGTATGCCTGTTAACTCAGTGTCTGCATGTCGCCCAAAAGACCTATAAGACATAATGACGTCACGCTTTGTTTACATGTGCACTTTGCTATGAGAGCCAAAGTTGAATCGGATGTATGTTTCGGGTGTCAAAGCAGGGGGGGGGGGCGGGGTAGCAGGATATTTATTTAATTTATATGAAAATAAACTATTTTTGACAGTGATGGTCGGAACTCCCCCCCGGATCCGCGCCTGGCACGTGCATCAGGCCTGTATGCCCATCGCGCGCTGCTGGGTTAGGATACAACGCGGAAATCTGACAACAGAGCGCCTTCTCATTGAATCTTACAACGAAAAAAAAATGAAAATTGTTGTTGAGGACATAAGACAATTATCCACATCAAAATTCAAACATTACCATCACTTTGAACTTAGTTTTGCAGCGGTAAACATCCCCTCCAACGGCATGGGGCAGATTTACACGCACATTGAATTAACGTGCATTAGGCCCGTATCCCATCGCGCTGCCTGGGTAAAACGCGGAACTCTTAAGTGCTAAAACGGGGAACTCTAATAACAAAGGGCCTTGCCGTGTTAATTTTCTCAACGAAAAAAAATGATAGCAATTTTTGAGGGTTCGAGACTATTATCCACATTACAGTTTAAAAATTACGATCCTTTTAAGGTTAGTTCGGCAACGGTAAACATGCCCTCTCCAACGGCATGTGACCGATACTGTATGGGTAAAACGCGAAACTCTAACAACAGAGGGTCTTTTTCAACGAAAAACTTGCGAGGAGTTGTTGACGATATGAGACACTTACCCAGATTAAAATTAAAACATTGTGATCATTTTTAATGTTGGTTCTGTAACGATAAACATGCCCCCTCCCACAGCACCGGACCCATTACACGGATACTGTACATACCGTGCATTATTGGCCTATTTGCACAAAACCTTTTTTGGTAAAACGCGGAACTGTTATTATTGAAGGTCTTCCCGGGTGAATTTTCCCCAGGTTAAAAATCACAGAAGTTGTTGAGAATATAATACACTTATCCACATTAAAATTGAAACATTGTGATGATTTTTAATGTTGGTTCTGTAGCGATAAACATGCCCCTCCCACAGCATCGGACCCATTACACGTATCCCGTGCAGTAGGCCTATTTGCACACAAAAAACTGAATGGGTAAAACGCGGAACTCTTATTTGAAGGTCTTCCCGGGTGAATTTTCCCCAGAGCAAAATCACAGGAGTCGTTGAGGATATAATACACTTATCCACATTAAAATTAAAACATTGTGATCATTTTTAATGTTGGTTCTCTAACGATAAACATGCCCCCCCCCCCCCTTCCCACAGCATTGGACCCATTTCACGTATACTGTACATATCGTGCATTAGGCCTATTTGCACAAAAACCTGAGTTGGTAAAACGCGGAACTCTTATAATTGAAGGCCTTCCCGGGTGAATTTTCCCAGAACAAAATCACAGGAGTTGTTGAAAATATAATACACTTTAATATCCACATTGTGATGATTTTTAGTGCTGGCTCTGTAGCCATAAAAATGCCCGCACAGCATCGGACCCATCACCATCACACGTATACTATACCGTGCATTAGGCCTATTGGCACAAAAACCCGAGTTGGTAAAAAATGCTCAAATAAATTTTTGGAGGATATACGACACTTGTCGACATGAAATGTTCGTAGTGATAAACATACCACTCAGAAGTACGACCCCTCGTAATTTGAAGGGTAATTTTAGGACTAAGTTATGAGATCTGAACGTCAGTCTATTTTCCAATTGAGTATTTTGTCTTTGTTCAGTGTAATCTCCATTTGTTTGCTGAGTTCCGCAGAGTTCCGCAGAGTTCCGCAGAGTTCCGCAGAGTTCCACACGTTCTGCAAGTTCCGCAAAATACCCGGGCGCCCTCTGCACTACAGAGGGCGCTATTATATTGTCAGTGGTTCTGTTTATATCGAAGATATAGATACGGCCGGTTGAACTGAAGTCAGGTTGGCCTGCTTTTGTTTTTGCACGCGTTTTTACGTTTTTATAAATTCTGCACTCATGGTGCCAGTCTGGATCGATGGCTAATTTTGGAGAGGGATGGGATGTCTTCTGCTCCGTTTTATTTGTTCTTTTAGCACTTCATGACGTCAGAAGCTTTTCACCACAGACCAAAAGAAACGTCCTTCTTTTTGTCGGTGAGAGAAACAGTCTCAAAAATGTATGCTTTAGAGCAGTAGAGTCAGACCCCCTATAAAAATGACGAGGATATGTTTTGACGCACTCGCATTCAATGTGCGTTGGACAACGCGTGCGCGTTGCAAGCGTTGCCTGCGTCAATTATGGTGACTCGAGGCTATCTCTTATGTGCGCCTATCAATTGACACCACGGAAAGAATGTTGCAACCTGACGCTATTTCAGCGGTTGTGTACAAAGTATATGGAGAGTATTTCCTAACAAAATTGAAAATGTTTTTCACTCAGTCCCACTCCCAGATTCATGTCTGATCGTCATTTTTGCAATGACTGACCTTCATTGACATGATTGAGATGATAATTGATATCCTCGAGTCACCATAATTGACGCAGATAACACTTGCATGCAACGCGCACGCGTTGTCCAACGAAAATTGTATGCGAGTGCGTCAAAGCATATCCTCGTTATTTTAGGTGGACTGACATGACTGACGATATATGAAGAAAAAAGCAGTGTCAGGTTGCAACATTCTTTCCGACACCACCCGGACGTGAATGGACTGCGAATTGTTTTCTCCCAAATGACATCCGCATATGATAGGGTATACGCTATGGCGTTTCAGACTTAATTTATGGAAAGTTTCCCAAATCTGGCATGTCTGGCCATCACTTCAGTAACTGTTCCCTTAAATGGCCTATCACTATTATCAGCAATCAGAAAGTGATGTCCTAAAAAGTCAAAATTGGCAGGGACAAAAGTTGAATTTTTACCGAGAAAACACTTAGAAATTTTCAGACCAGTCCCATAGGGTTCAAATGTGCACAGGGTGACTAGTGATGGCCAGATATGGCAATGTATTGTATGGGAATCTTTCCCTAGCATGAGTAACTCCAGCTGACATGCTCATCAGGAATAGACATGTGAATTCCTGATGATGAAAAAGATTTAGGAAAAGAAAATTTGCCTCACCCAAGACGTGGGGATTGTCACTTTTGAAGTGACAAAATCCCCAGCCCTCGAAACAATCGCCGACCATGCCCCGACAAACAAACGTGGGACGCACTAGGGATTGCCTTTCCATACGCCGTGCCATTAAAGTGGCAACAATGTAATTTGAGTGACCAGAATCACCACCAGGCTGGGGCATGAAAAACATGACATGGGTGTCAGATATGATTAAAAAATTGCTATCGGCATTATCGATATCAAAATAATATTGAATAATGAAGTATTATCGATATATCGACAGTGCTTACTTTCACCTTGCAGGCGACGATGCAGGCTTTGAGACGCAAGTCTACAACAACACCGTCTGCAAGACACCGCACCTGGATGCGCTGGCCAAGCGCAGCGTCGTCTTCAAGCACGCTTTCACCTCAGTCAGTAGCTGCTCGCCGAGTCGTTCAGCCATCTTGACGGGGCTCCCTCAGCACCAGAATGGCATGTACGGCCTGGAGAATTCTGTGCACCACTTCGTGTCGTTTGACGGCGTGCGCAGCCTGCCGGTTATCCTCAAACAAAGTGGAATAAGAACAGGTAACGCGCATTACATTAGTGCCCCCCCCCCCCCTATCGGCATCTTAGGCATCATAAAACAAAAAACAGTATTTGTTTGAAGGTTTTAAGATGGTTCAGAAACGTGCTTGCAGTAGGAATAGCGCGCACACTTTAGATTGCAGTATGGACCGTGGTATTGTTGTCGTGGATCGACCAACTGGAATCGAGGATTGAACTTTTCTTTGAAAATAATGTGAGTTGTCAGATTTAGGTGAACAAATAAAGCCTATCATGCAGTCGGTTGTGCTTTGTCAATTTCAGTCAAAAATGAAATATTCAAACTTGAACAGTGTGTGACCCTGAGACCTCTGTACCGTTCCAGTACTTAACTAACTCGGGTCTTAGTCTGAAAAAATTACTTATAAGTGTTAACTTGAACTCAAGTCCAAAAAGCTAAGAAAGTGAAATATTCAATGCCTGAGATATAGACCTGCATAGAACTACCACTCCAACACTCCATATCAAAAATATTTCTGCATGTGTAACTTTGTATTGATTTGGCAAATCAAATTTGCAAATTAGGACTAAAATCAATGCACAAATAAGTACAGGTTTCTAATAAAACATGTTGCTCTATTAAACTTGCAACATAACTTTTTATCTGTAGGTATTATCGGCAAGAAGCACGTCGGGCCCGAGTCTGTCTATCAATTTGACTACTCAAAGACGGAGCTTGATGGCTTCCCGATCATGCAAGTTGGACGGAACATCACGCTCATGAAGCAATTTGCTCATGAGTTCTTGAGTAGTACCGATCCGAGGTGAGTCCTTCTCATTGAACTCCCTTTCATGCTCTTTAAAGGTAGAGTATATTGCAGCCATCCAAAAAGTAACTGACAAAATTATTGTTGAAAAACTTACTTGGTTTAAAGTAATGGCACTGAACGCCCTGTGAAATTATTCTTTCTGGCTTGTTGTCATTTTGAAGAAAACAATAAAAGATGGTCATTTCCAAAGATGTGTCTAAAGACACATATTTGGAAATTTTAGTTTGTAGGTCGTTTTTAATTCGGCAAAGCTGTGAATGGGTGCGCGCAAGAGTTGACACAACGTACGCGGTTGCCATAATTCGTTGGTTAAGCGGGTGACATCGCGTAGCTGCAATCAATCGGCTGAATGAGAACGTGTTTTGGGCGCAATTCGAAACATGACTCAGTAACTTTTGAATTGAAATTGAGATCCTAGAATATTGTTTTTCTGGGATATATCTCGGATTGCGTTCATGTCTCTTAGCATGACCGATATTTTCGCACATTTGTTGTTGCCAAAAGCTCCCATTCAATCCGTGACTGTTGCAGAACAGCATCATTTGTCATGCGATCAAGCTACATGAGTCATTTGTCTGGAATTTTCATTTGGAAATTCAGGCCAAAATAGGGCCACTTCATCACATCTCTTGGTGTTCCTCACATCTCTTGGTGTTCCGACTTCCATATTTTTAAAACTAAATATGGTATCAGCGATCAGTTTTCACAGCAATAATGCTGAGTTAGTGCACTTTAAAAATCTGTAAAAAAATTATTTTACCAGGGTCGACAAACGACTCATTTAGCTTGATTGCATCACATTTAGTTTTAGGATCCATTAGTTTACACAGCAACAATAAAATACGAGAACAGGTGCGGGTGATTTTTTTCTTCATAACTATGTTTTCAAAATTTTGGTTTTTCTCTGTTACCCTAGTAAGTAAAATAAAGTCCGTCATGAGCCGTTACCCATATACATACTATCGGGTGGAGAAAGGCAAGTGGTAGGGAAGTGGCTTGCCCATGGGCACAACATATGGCCAGTGGCTGGATTTGAACCCCTGACCCTCTGATCATGAGACACGAACCCTAACCACTAGGCCGCACTCCCCCACAAATTTATGCATACCACATAATTCCACACATTTACCAAATAGCTAGGACCGTGGCACTACATTTAAGTTGTGGTAAATTCATCAATCAAGGCTTCAACATACCAATTTTATATTTTTATATTTTCCCCCAGACCATTTTTACTTTACATCGGCTTCCACGATCCGCACCGCTGCGGCCACACGCAACCCCAATATGGCCAATTCTGCGAGAAGTTTGGCAACGGTGATCCGGGAATGGGCAAGATTCCTGATTGGGTGCCTACAACCTATGACCCAGGCGAGGTGATCGTGCCCGGGTTTGTACAGGATACACCAGCAGCGAGAGGGGACCTGGCCGCGCAATACACAACAATAAGCAGGCTTGATCAAGGTATTGCTACAAAAATTGTCTGTTTAGGCCAAAAAAAAAAAGTCTCCGGTTTCTGGTATGGAGCTTGTCCAAAAAGTGGTGCGGCGACGCGGCTTTTTTTTTTTTTTTACCTGACTTTTTTGGTTCAAATGTCGACTGATGACTGCAAATGGTGCCCGACTAAACTAAGTGCAAATATATGGGAGTTCAGAGAGGCTACATAAAGCTTATTCTCGATCATAACCCCATCTAAAAACACGTTTAAATTGTGCAGCAGCAGAATTCCAGTCAAACCAGTGAGTTTGGCGGTTTTGAGACATCATCTTTCATTGAAAAAAAAACTTTTTCATTTTGCCGACGCGCATGGCTACGGCGATGCGCGCGCATACCAGAAACCGGAGACTTTTTTTTTTTGGCCTTAAAGCTATAGTCCATCATTTGCAGCCATCCGAAAAGTAACTGGCGTAATTATTGTTGAAAAACAAACTTGGTTGAAAGATAGTAAGGGAACTAAACTCCCTGTGAAATTATTCTTTTTGGCAAGCTGTCATTTTGAAGTAATTAACAAAAGAAGGCCTTTCCAACTGCGTCTTACGACGCACCTTAGGAAAATTTGAATTAGTAGTTCGTTTTGTTATTCGGCGCAGCGAGTGCAAGCATTGGTACGACACACAGGCGCGCGCGGTTGCTACAATTCGTCGGATCAGTGCATGATTCAGTAAACATGATTCAGTAACTTTTGATTTGAAATTGAGATCCTAGAATGCTGTTTTTCTCGGATATACAGCTGAAGCTTAGCTGAAACTTCATCAGGTTAGTTGTTCAGTATCCTTCATTAGATTTTGAACACTTTTGTTGCTTCAAACAAACAAAATGCACAAATTACAAATGATGGACTATATCTTTAACCCTAACATACCTGAATCCATCAAAATCCACACCCCTGTTTCCGGGGATTTCGGTGGATTCAGGATACCTCCACATTGAAAAGTTGGGGGATTTTGATGGATTCAGGACATGAAGCCTACCGGTACTGCAGGATTTGGATGGATTCAGGATACCTCCATATTAAGCAGTTGGGGACTCTGATGGATTCGGGATCAGATTTACTCCCGCCTATAACTGGTGGATTCTGATGGTCTCACTGGACACCAACATTTTTTTTGCATGGCAAAATTGATGGATTTTGGCGGATTCAGGATACTTTCTAGTAAATATACCCAAGGGGTTAGGGTTAATAGGCTTCATCCACTTGTCCTGTGGTGCAGACAAGTGTTTCAGCCGTCAGAGGTCTTTAACCCTTACCACCCCCAACCCTTCAAAATCCAACTGCATGTTTTGTTGGAATCTGTTGGAGTGAGTACTGCACTAGTAAACTTATTACGGCTTTCCATAGGGTTAGGCATACCACCATAATCAGAGTCCAACAGTTTGGGTGTTGAGTTTACCATATGGTGTTGGATTTTGCAAGAGTGAGGAAGGTTCCTAGTAAATCACTCAAGGGGGCTAAAAGTCAAATTTTACTCATAATTCACCATTTTTCAATGGCTTGGTCAGAGACAGTATTACGAGATGCTTGTTTTGTGGTTCACTTAAAGGCATATATAATTTGCATTTATCACAAAAGTAACCTACCGAAGTATTAAAAAAAAACTTACTTGGATTAAGAATCTTACTGGTACTAACGCCCAGTGAAATTGTTCTGTCTGGCTTGCTGTCAATTAGAAGAAATCAAGAAATGGACATTTGTAGGTGATTTCCAATGATTGGTCAGTTGACTAATTTTCGGAATAACGAGTGCTGTTGACGAAATCTTGTTTCATATGATCAAAAGGTTGTGCACATTGGAAATGAAAAAAATGCATGAAAAGCAAGTGATCCTATAATATGCCTTTAATTTGTCTTGATGTGTGCGCATAAAACATCAGTGTTTTACATTACAGTTCAGAGTAAACCTCCGATGGGCAATTCCAACATTATGGAAGAAAATGTGATGTCCGTGACAGTATACAAATATTGAATGCTTCGAGTGGTGTAGTAAAACTAGCCTCCCGAGGTGATCCATGGACATTTCGCCGAGGGAAAATAGAATGGTCCATGGATCACCGAGGGAGGCTAGTTTTACTTCACCACGAGATAAAGCAATCAATATTTGTTTTATAACACTTCACCCACAGATTCTGCTTAATTTTAATATTTTAAATTATTTAAATCTGAACACAGTTGAAATAAACTTCAATTTCAATACAAAATTGGTGGAAAATGTATTTCTCTCTTCCAAACTACCCCTTCACGAAATGTTTGAACCCAAGTCTGCGGCGCGCTCTCTTTGGAACAATACGGGCACAAGCATCCATTTGCACACAAATTCCGCGCCGTGGAAATAGTACTTTGGTTGCCAATGGTATAGTACTTTGGTTACTACGGGTATAGTACTTTTGGCCGTGCACAGAAAGATAGCAAAATTAGAAAGTAACATGTGACTCGCTCATGGCCAATCAAGACACAGAATCTGTGGGTGAGGTGTTATAAAGCCTATTAGCCATGAGGTCTAATTAATGATTCAGAGATATCCAAAACTCCTAGTCTTTAATTTCCTTGACCATAACCAGATGATGGATGTATTTCAGGTTTATTCAAGGACAGGGCCTTTAAATTTTTAACAAACTGCTTCATTTGTAATGATGTACATAGTTTCACATATTCTTTTCTATGGGTTACTCAGGAAAAATTTGATCAAGTACGGTTTGTGTGCTAACTCAATGAGTAAACTTGATGTTAAATAAAGCATCTGACAGTGATTGATAATTTTTGTCTCCAGTTCTAAAAGAAGCACTATTGAAAAAAAATGGATGAATTAAACAATACTTAGACATTTCAGTGGAATTTTTGTACATAGCCACTAACAGGTACATGTATGCAGCAGGAGAACATTTGGCAGAGGACTATTAAACATAATCTGAAAAAAACATTAATGTATATCTTTCTGGTTCCCAGGTATTGGCTTGATCCTGAAGGAGCTTGAACTGGCCGGCTATACAGATGACACCTTAGTCCTTTACACATCGGATAATGGCATCCCCTTCCCTAACGGTCGCACCAACCTGTACGACTCAGGCATGGCAGAGCCTTTACTGGTTTCCTCCCCGGCCCACACGGAGCGCTGGGGACACGAGAGCAACGCCATGGCGTCAACTGTTGACCTCACGCCTACCGTTCTAGACTGGTTTGGCATCCCGTACCCCGACTACACCCTCAACAGGGAAGCGGTGCGGCTGACTGGCCAGTCTCTACTGCCGGTTCTCCAGCGCGAGCCCAGCACAGGCTGGGACACGGTATACGCCAGCCACAACCTACACGAAGTCACCATGTACTACCCGATGCGTGTGGTGCGCAACCGACGCTACAAGCTGATCCACAACATGAACAACCTGGCACCGTTCAACATTGACCAGGATTTCTACATCTCAAACACATTTCAGGTAAGTCATTTGCACTGCAGATACAGGTTGTTTTTGGAAAGTTTTGATTTTTACGAGTAAAGCCCGGTTCATACTCTGCGCGAATTCGAATTTGTGACGTCGTGGCAAGTATTCGCGCTGTGAATTCGTAAAAGTTGACCATATTTCAACTCGGGCGAATTTCGCAGTGAACGTTTCATGACGTCAAATTCGCTTCGCATTCGCATTCGCAGGAAGTATGAACCGGGCTTAAGGGAGACAGATGTGTAATGCGGAGGTGGAGAGTTCAAGGATGAGGGTTCGAATCCCGCCGCGAGACACAGTGCTCATGCCATTCAATTGATTAGAATTGCTTCTGAGATGTCCTGACTTTTAGGTACACAGATATACATCCCTGCGGTTGAGGCTTGTATGCATGGGAACACACAAAATTGAAATACCCGCGCTTTGTTCTGGCACTGTGCGGTCGATAGGGGCCAATTCGGGCGATTCACAATGCAGTGCGCCACCAAGAGTTTGCCATGGAGAGTCAACTTTTCAAGTTTACGGTCGACAAAACATGGCCCATTTGAATGAGTGTCAGTAGACAATTTGAGCTAATTTGTTATAGATTTGGGCATAGCGTTCTGCCGCCTTATCAAAAATCACCATATTGATACAAAGAAAAGAAAAGGGCAAACAGATACTTGAATCATATGCTTATGAAACTACTGACCGGAAAAACGAACAATTTCAAATGTCCCGCGCTGCAAATTTGTCGACCATCTCCCACAACGCACTGGGAAAAAAGAACTCTCTGTGGCAAACTCTTGGTGGCGCACTGCATTGTGAATCGCCCGAATTACAGACATGTGTGGTTACGCTTGCATCAGTTTTCGTAAACCATTGTCAATCTTGGACGATTTTCAGTCTTTGGTAGTAAACGGGATATCAAAATGTAGCTAACAAAAGTCCCGAAAGGTCTATATAAATGACGTCATCATGAGACGATCAAATTCAAAATGATGACCCCTCGAATGAGTGTGGACTTTTTTTTTTTGCTGTGATATTTTTTATTTATTTACACTAAGCATAAGTACAATAATTTGCACATAACTCCTGTTTTCCTAAGCATATATTTCCTGTGCCTCGCAAATATGTCTAGATGCTTAGCAGTGTCATGAAATTGGGCCAAGTTTCATTGTGGCTGAAGCTTACTTTACAAAATTGAACTATGAATAAGACATGTTCAAGACATGTTTAACTATGGTTGGAGTCTGTATACTGATAATTACCAGAGCCGAAAATTATCAGCATCCAGACTCCAACCGGTCTTAAACAGAGTGTTTAACACCTCCCAAGCACACATTTATTCCCGAATGTTATTATTATTAATTAATATACACTCTAGCAAGTTTTCATTGAATCAGCTAATTCTCCTTTTATTTAATATATTTTCATGGATATTGATAATCTTTGGAATAGGATATTAAAAATATCTGCAGATCTAATGAGTTGGTAATGATAAATTATGCTTCAAAATTAAAAATTAAATAATAATAATAATAATAATATTCTTATATAGCACCAAATCCTTCAAAATGACGTTCAAGGCGCTTAACAATCATTAACAAAAACAAAAACAAAAAACCCAAAACTTAAAAACAAATATGAAAAACCTTTTAAAAATTACATATTGTTACACGAATATTATCAATAATAAAATAATATGTAAGCACATTAGCATTAAAACCTAAGAACAAAACTAATCAAGCAAAAGATACATGTTAAGGAAAAAAATGGCATATGAAGGACCTATAGATTAATATAATGAATGATAAAAAGACAATAAAAAATTTCAGAAGATGACAAGTACGATGTATAACAAGACCATTATGGGCAGACAGAAACAACCAAAAATGAGCAACTAAATGAATAGTTATAATTCGCAAAACGAATAGCTTTTAATAGTTACAGTTCGCTAAACGAATAGTTATAATGAGCAACTGAAAAAATAGTTATAATGCACCATACCTGTATGGCAATCATGACATATTTATATTGATTCGATATCCAACAGCGGAGACCTGCCATGCATTTACATACATTCAATTCAATTCAGTTCAACTTAACGTTTATTTCCATGCTTCATGACGAAAAAAAAATATGTATGCAAACTTTAGAGAAAAGGGTTAAACAATAAAGCAGTAAATATCAAATTAACAGCAAAATAAAAGAAGCAAATAAGACAGCACCGAAATTTTTCAAACATGTATATTCATTCGTTGGTTAAATTAATATATTTTAACCCATTACTGCTTGTACTACATTGTATTACATTGGGTCTTGTTTATCATACATAACTTATTTTTCTGGATGTCATCTTTGGTGCTTAGGTAGGTTTAGGTCTACTCTATCTACCATGGGGATAACAGTTATTAAACCTTTTCAGTAAGGTAATTACAGCCCAAGGAAACTCAAAAGTACATCCAAAATGTAACGTGAGTAACCGTGGAATTGCCCCACTGAAGAATCAATCAAACCACTAGGGCCGTTTCGGTACTACACTGGCAAACCTAGGGTTATACAGAATATAAGTGTACAATATTATTTTGTACGAGGTATATTTGGTTAAATTAAGCCATCATATGATTTTATCAATAAATGATTAAATACACATCACAATGTAACATTCCTTCTAGCCTGGCTTCATGTTGGAGTTAATGCTTTGACATCACAACATTTTTTGCAAGGTTTCGTTTTTTAAACTGTCAACCGTTTCTGGTACAGCTTCAGGTAGTATGGCATGGAGAAATCTACACAACGCTGCACATCTTCAGGAAGTCTGGCACCAGTGAGCGGAGCACCAGCCTCAGCCTTTTGTTTGAAAAATTCGGTGCTGTCTCGGAAATCCTTATAGGTTAAACCAGTGCTCACCCTATTCTTGAAATCTTTACTAATAACCCATCTCTCTGTGACGTCTGTTCCTTTCTCCCACTTCAAGATGGAATCATGGTACGGTACTCCAAGCTTTTCAAAGAGTCGTGAGAGAACTGCTGCTGGGTCGTTCACAAGTTCATCAGAATCCACGATGATCGGATCCGACTCCAGATTGTTCTCTTGGAGGTATTCATACAAAATGACAGCCTCCTTAAAAGTCCAATTGTGTCCCAGAAAAACGGCGGGTTGCTTGTCCAAGTGAAACTCGCCCCCTCCTGTCCCCTGTATCGGCTGCCCCCTCATGGCGGAAATATCTGGCAGGACTCTCTTCATCGACTGAAACACCTTTGCTGGCTCCCGAATCAAGAAGATGTGTCGATAGCCCTTGGGGATGTACTCAAACTTGTCTTCAACTGTGTAAGCGAACTCCTTGGCAAAGATGAACCTCTTGCCTGGATAGCTGGCTTCCATTTGCTTTTTCACCCATGGATAAGTGCTGTTTTCTTCGGCGAAGCCAGAGCTTTCTGGTTCCTCGAGGGCATCCTTCAGCGTCCCAGATGAAGGATTTTTTCGCGAAGGTGCAAATTCCCCAAGACCAGCCCGAAAAGGCGGCGAGTAAAGCTGGAAAAGGATCTTGGAGTCTGGCACGCCGTCCATGCATTTTGCGATGATGGAGGAACGTGAGCGCGGAACGCCCCACATGATGACTCGGACAGGTTCAGACATCTTTTTCAAGAATGTACGTCTTTCAAATGAAGCAAAAATAGGAGTTTCTGTTGCCTACATGTAACTTTATCATTGAGATATCGTTATCATCTGCAAAAACAAAAATAACGACACCATTGTTCGTTCATGTAGTAGAGAAGCATTTACCGCAGATTAGCATTCAAAAGCCAAGGACAGTAATATTTCATCACCACTTTCAATGCAAAATCCAAAGATCTTTGGTAAAAAAAAACTATAGGCCGAATTCGATGGAACTGTTGAGCAAAAAATTGCATTTACATGTAATATGATATATTAAAGTGATATGCTCTGATACACCGCGCCCTCTGGAGACATGCACACAATAGGGATGCACTTTGTCAAGGTCTTGGGCCGGACCCAAGTTAAAATTGTGAACATCAAATTGGCTCCAAACCGTATTTATGATGAGACTTACCGTTTCAATTGATGCCATGCCCTAAAAAAGCGACCTCTGCAACAATTGGATTTAGCAAAACTAATCTGTAACAATGCACATTGCACTATTTACAATGACCTGTACACCCTCAAGCCCATTCTGGGTCGCCCGGACTTTGTTCAGGAAAGAGATATATTGGCCACACAAAAAAATAGTTCTGCTTCCGGTCACCCTACCTATCCTATTTTGACAGCCCTACCTAATTTATTTAGGGGGAAAATAATCGGGAAAAAAACAAAAACCATCAATTAGGCCCCAAAAAAATACTCGGTCTCTGGTCAGACCAAAGTTCAGGAATTGATGCGGCGACGCAGCTTTTTTTTTTCCTTCTTCTTTTTTTTTTTTTCAAGCTTGGATTGTACAGACTAGGTGGGGTACTATTTTTGCATTTTTTGGTGTCCTCATGTACATTCGTGTCCTCCATAATTTGCCTTGGTGCCCTCAATCATTTGCCTTGGTGCAATTTACCATTCCGTGGTGCTCCTTGGAACAAAGCCTTGAGGAGGTGCGGCAATAGAGGCTTCTGTTGGAGCTACCGCGGAAAATTTTGGGGAAAAAAAGGATTGTCGCACATGATTAAAATCGAGGCGCGGGCTGACCAGAGACCGACTATTTTTTTTTTTTTTTGGCCTTACTACCTTTTACCCTTGGCTACACATGACCCTACACAAAAAAACAAATTGCCCCCCCCCCCCCCAAAAAAAAATTGCCCTCTGTAGTATCTAATGTTTGGGAATGAAGGGAGACACACACACACAGTTTTCGGCTGACTGTTAAGTGTATTCAACAACTGGTCAATCTGTGACCTGCGATGTCATCAGGTACATATGTATGGAGTGCCTATGATACAATATTACAACCCTTTCCGACTTGCTTGCTAAAAGTCCAAAATGCAATTAAAGTTTTGCAATGGTGTATTGGGCATATTTTAAACATGTGTTTATAGAGAAGCATTAAAACGAGAAAGTATGGGTTCTGTCACATGCAATACTTCCTGTGTCAGAGCCTTTCTTTAGTTTTGTCTTTTTGTGTCAACTGTTATAGAACCAAACTGATAAATAACATAGGAGGGAGAAGTACTTTTGTTGTTTTTGTATATGATTTGTTTTCTTTATTCATCAATTGTCTTAAAGTTGACAAATTCTGGCATATGTCTATATAATAATAAAAATAACAATCATGGAAAACAAAAGTGGAGAAATTTAATCATCATTGATGACCTAAAAAAATATGGATATTTAGAAAAACATCATGTATAAAACATTTTTAGCCTCCAATAATGGAGGTACCGTACACTTCGTGTTACTTAATAATGTTACTTTCGTTGTTTAACTTTTCCTTTATTAGTTAAAAGAAATTCTTCATTATTCAATGCTGTGTCAAAGGTTTTGTGTCACCAGTACAGGTCAAAGCTTTTTAAACCTTCAAACGTTTTTCGTACAGTTTCATGAAATATGGCATGGAGAACTCTACACAGTGCTGTACGTCTGCAGTGAGATTGGCACTGGTACTGTGTGTAGTACCAGGCACTGCCGTCTCCTGTAGAAATCCGGTGCTGTCGCGGAAACTCTTGAAGCTGGAAGCTTTGGTAATCCTGTTCTTGACACCCCGACTCACAACCCATTCTTCCATGACATCCATCCCCTTTTCCCAGTTCAGAATAGAATCTTGGAATTGTACCCCAAGCCTCTCCAAAACTGCTGATAGGATTCTTGCTGGGTCATTCACAAGATCATCAGAATCAACAACGATTGGATCCGGCTCCATATTTGCCTCTTGAAGGTATTCGTACAAGTTGACTAGTTCCTTGAATCCATATTCTGGTGCGATTAAATGAGGTGGCTGCTTGTCTAACTCGAAGTCTCCCCCTTCCATCCCTGGTATCTGCTGCCCCTGTACAGCCACTATCTCCGGAACGGTCTTCTTCAGGGACTGGAACACCTTCACTGGCTCCCGAATCAAGAAGATGTGTCGATAGCCCTTGGGGAGGTACTCAAATTTTCCGTTGATGCAGTAAGCCATCTCCTTGGCAAAGAGGAACCTCTTGCCTGGGTAATTAGCTTCTAGTTGTCTCTTCACCCATTGATAATCTGCCTTGGCCTCTCCTTTGCTGAAGCTTTTTGATTGTGCTCCAGCATTAGTGATTTCATCTTGAACCCTGTAAAATCCCTCTGATTGGAGACTTGAATCGGAAGAGTTAAACTCTCCCAGACCGGTCCAGAATGCTGATGAGTAGACCTGGAAGAAGATCTGGGAGTCTGGCACGCCGTCCATGCACTTTGCAACAATGGAGGACCGTGAGCGCGGAACGGACCACATGATGACTCGGACAGGTTCAGACATCTTTTTCCAGAATTTCTTTCAAATGATCGCAATTTCTTGAAGCCAAAGTTGGAGTTTCTGTTGCCTAACTCGTTATCGTTAACTGGTATCGTTAATTTCAAGGTTTTGGTCCTCATTATCATCTGTAAAAAAATAACAATGTACAAATAACATGTTCTTTTATAGCGCATTTCAGGACTGTAGAAGCTCTGATGCACTTAACCATTTTATGTTCATGTAGTAGAGTAGCATTTACTGCAGATTAGCATTCAAAAGCCTTACTTCAGTACCATTTTCAATGCAATATCCAAAGATCTTTGGTAAAAAAAAAAAAAAAAAACCTGGGCTTGATCGAACTGCTATAAAGCACAAAGTTGCATAGCAAATTACACGTGGTTTATTCTGCCAAATTGGGACCTCGCAATCGGGTGCAGAAAAATATGCTAACAAAATCAGGCCAACTTTACTCACTCTGTAGCCAACAAAATTCTCTAACATTTTGATGAGGCAACTTGGACAAGGTTCTTAGTATTTTACCGGCCAAGTATGAGGTCTCAAAGGAGACTTTTCTTCAGCATTGCACCTGAGAGTGAAGTCAAGTGATTTCAATTTGAAGCCTAAGACAAGACTGGTACATGTCCAACCTTTTGAGAAGATTGACCTTTAAGTAGTCTGGTGACATCATGACTATGGAAAAATTTTAACCATTGAGGGGGTACATGTGTACCTATAAATGCACAGAGATATTTATTATGCGGTTCGTTAGTAAAAACGTCATAAAGACGTGCGCAGAACTGATTACTAGCGCCATTGGATAAACGATTGAGGTGTGTTAACTTCCGGTTCCATTATGCTACACCATGTGAAGTACGCATGGTTGAATTGAGATGACGTCACACTAACGAACCGGATAGCATATTAAGTGGCTAAAAGCAAACCTGCTGGCACAAAATATGTGATTGAGACACGTCAATATAAATACTATAAATAGCCAGATCATGTGCCATCTTCAACTTCAGCACTTACCCAATATTGTGAACATCAATTTGGCTCCGTACCTCAGTCCATGATATAACTTAACATTTCAACCAATGACATGCCCTAAAAAAACCCAACCTCAGCAGCATTTGGATTCAGTAATATGAATTAGGCACAATGCACATTGCACTATAGACTCACACGCCCCTTTTATAAAGTTTTGGGACTCTCGTTCATCGTATATGGTCAATGCAGTACTGAAGGGGTGGTGGAATGGTCTTTGGGGGTCAAGGCCGGACCAAATAGCACAGAATTCTACAGCTGTTGTGGTTGTGCACACTTGTATGGAAAGAAATGCATACAACAGGTTAACACTTTGTATTTTGTAGCTTCAGGCTACCCAAGTCTGGGTTTTGCTTGGTCTGTGCAGTAGTACTGGTACATTGCATAATAACATTAATACTGCATGCACTGCACCCTCAGGCAGCCTTTTTTGTATGTTTCCTTCTTTTGTTATCCTTTGTTCCTTGGGTCAAGTCTATTTTGTTAATGATATATTTCTAGTAAATAAAAGATACCTTTTCGGGACTTGGGTTACAGAGCTCGTATCAGGAGCTTGCGACACCATCATGGTGTCTTTATCAACTGGTGTTGTTGAGGCCCTCACGTGACCCGTCACGTGACCAGGCTTGGTCACACGACATTAGGCGGTCATACACGTTGGCCAGCTCGTATTCTTCATCTTTGTTCATATGGGGGGCAGTGCCTGCAGATTTCCACAGCTTCGCCGATTTCACCGAAATGTATTCCTGTACGCAAGAAGGAGCTAAATCCTGGATGAATTGGAATGGAAGAAGTAGAAGTTCTGCTGGTTTTAGAGCCTCAGAGAGCCAGCCGTGTATCATCACTGAACCCAACTCACTGACACTCACTTTTGAAATAGACTAGCTAAAGCCTCACCTACAATCCCGGCCAAAATGGTTGGGACACTTGGAAATAACCTTAGCCTTCCACGGTCACCCACTCCCCTGCTCCCCCGGTTAATGTTGTTCTCTTCAGCTGATGGAGCACACACTGCGTAATGAAAGACAACATAAACAGGGGGCCGGGGGTTGGGGGCCCAGCGAGATTTGGCCAGGGTTGTACATGTAGGCCCAAAGATTTGAGTGATGACTACCAAGACCCCATCGACAAAATTGGTCTTGGACCAGCTTTAGTCGGCTTTACGTTACTAATTCTGTATTTTGCAGGATGCCAGAGAAGGTGATCTGTGTGGGACATGTAGGTGCTCTGATCATGTTTTAGATAATTCAGTTATGGGACAGACACACTTTTTTGTGTTTATACTCCACATGTTTTGTTTTGATTTCAAATAGGATCTACTGAATCGAACCAGATCCGGGCAGCCGACCCACTGGTTCAAAACCTTGAAGGACTACTACTACCGCCCCCAGTGGGAGCTCTTTGATCACCAGGCGGATCCCCTGGAAACCACCAACCTAGCTGGGGACAGGAGGTACGCATCTGTCCTGAGTGACCTCAAGGAGCAGGTGCTTCGGTGGCAGAACGCCACCAACGACCCCTGGATATGTGCTCCCTGGGGCGTGCTGGAAAACTCCGGGCTTTACAAAGAGAAGCCCACCTGTATGCCAATGGACAATGGACTATAAAGGCTGGTTCATGCTCGGCGCAAAAGCAAACTCAAATTTGTGACGACACGGGGAATATTCACGCTCCGAATTCGAAAAAGTTGAACATATTTCAACTTGAGCGAATTTCGCAGCGTATGTTTCATGACGTCAAATTCGCCTCGCATTAGCGTTCGCATGAAGTATACCTGGCTTAACTCTTTTTAATTAACTGTGCATTGTCTCTGTTGTACTGAAGATTATGAACTGGAGTATGAACAGGCATAATAATTGTAAAGTGCTTTGAGATTGTTGATACAATGGAAAGCGCTATATAAGCACTACGGTTATTATTATTTAGCCCGCCACATAAAGTAATGGTACCTATGCAAAATGTAAAGGTAATGGCTTGTACGCCTATTCAAAAAGCAGCATTACAATAAATATGAAGCAGGTTATTTAAAAAAACTAACCTGACGAAATTTCAGATCAGTAGATGTACTTTTTGAGAAAACAGTGAAAATGCCTCTTTGTTTTTCTAGATGCAAGTCAAGATTTCCGTTTATAAAGCCCTCCCTTCCAAAATGATCATTAATCTGGTTTGGCTTGCACCCTCTTGTGGTATGATGCTCAGTTTGTGACTTGGGGGAAAATAATATTCATTCAAGGATTATGTAACTGATTACAAACTAGCCTATATTTAGACAATTTGGATTAAAATTACGGCAATTCCTCATTTTCCTCAAACATTACATCATACTAGGTGTAACGATTTCACAAGATTCTTTATCCTATTATTTACTTACAATCAGGTAGGACATTTCATATTTTGGCAGTTTCATTTTTGAACGTTTGCAAATATTCCTTTTTTTCTGTATTGCAAATGTGATTTTTTTTCAAAATCCTGAAATCCTGAAAAAAAACCCTGAAATAGGATAAACTCCTGAAAAAAATTCTGACATCAGGAAAAATCTGAACAACAAAATCATGAAATTGGGAAAAATCTGAACAAAATATCCTGAAGTCAGGAAAAAGCTTGACAAAAATCCTGGAACCAATCAAACTCTTGATAAAAAAATCAGGAAAAATCCTGACAGATGTCACCGAGGGGGAGGGGGGGGGGGGGTCTGAAAAGGAATGGATAAGAGGTGAAGGGGGGGGGGAGAGGGTTATAAGTTTTGGGGTAGGAAGTCATGCCAAAATCAAAAGGCATTTATTCTTGCTTGGGTTCTTAACATGCATTTTGTATATACAGTGTATCTTTTTGCTAATGATAATGTTCTGGCAAACCAGTTTGATATGTAAAGAGAGATTATATTTTTACATTACTAATGATAACATGAAAATAAACTGTCATGACTCAGTTTCAAAAGTTGTTTACTTGTAAAGTTATTTCGAAAGCGGCTTTTTATTTGGAAAATAGCTCAAGCATTAATAGTTTTCAGGGGTCGCACATTTTCAGATGTAACTGAAGTAAGCAAAACTGCAAACTGAGATTTGTCCTAACATTAAACATCAGGGCATACAAGTGGCCCAAAATTGCCTCTGTCTGCCAAATCACGATTTGTATATATTTTTTATGTACGGTCAAATATTTTCTTAAAAGTCCTTGAAAATGCACCTTTGTATCCCATTGAACCTTATTTTCAATTTTTGTTTTGCCATTTTCAAGGGTATTTTGGTACCTTTTTGGGGGGTTTGTATGCTAATGAAATTTCCATATTCATGAGCAAAAGTGATGTCATTTCAGGAAGAAGCCTCATTGTTACAGTTATTTTACCACCAACAGTTTTATTATGGATATTTTGCAGCCTTAATTTCCTGGGGGGTTTTGGTGATTATTTGTTGTGTAAGTATATGGCAGTAAGCCAGTGAGCCAGCTTTTCTTTTCAATAAGTATTTTTTTGGTTCACAATTTGAACAGAAAACCCCTATAACTAAACAGTGTCTTCCTAAACAGTGTCACAGCAACAGCGCCCCCAGTTGTCCTGAGAAGGGCTTTAAATGTTTGAAGAAGTGTACTTTTCAATAACATTGACAAAAAATGGATGTCAAATAGTTTTCATACATTTTAAGAGGAGTAGAAAAATTGTACAAAAACAAATGTTCCAAAGAAAAAAAATCATGTTTTGTGGTCCCTGCACTTTAAATGAAGGGTTCTAGTTCTTTTCTGATCTTTGAACTTTTGTTTCTGTGAAATTGGAGATGAAATTAGACCCGAAAGTTGCAATGGACCGATCCAGTCAGCCCCGCCCACTGAGCACTGGGCAAATTAACACGTGCTCCTCTCCAATGCCACACTGCATTTTCCTGCCGCGCGCATCATACGCGCGTGCACGGTGCACGCATGTCGGACTTTTGTGCACGAACGTCGGACATAAATCACGGCTGTGATTGGTCAGAACACCGTGGGGCGGTGCTAACTGGATCGGTCCAAAAGTGGACGATCAATTCAAAATGGCGATGGCTTCAGGACCATTGATCTCCATATACACAGCGTCATTTACGTCATCATCACGGCCAGGGGTTAGTGTAAGGAACGCGCACGCGCCCATGGAGTCGAGGCTGGGACTACTTTTAGGGTGACTAACCTTTGGAAGGAAAAATCGCCAAGAAAGTGAAAGAGGGTAACAGAAAGTGAAGAGAGAGAAAACGAGGGTGAATCAAGCTTTCATTTGATGTTTGCGTTGATCACTTGTAGGAGTTGTGAGCATTAGTTCCGATGTTTTGAAGTATTGTGATTAGCATTAGACGTGGTGGGCTGGTGGTCGGATAACGGAACAGATTCCAGCCCGACTTTGTTACTTTCTGCGATTGACAGAAAAGTAATGAATCTCAAACAAATAAGGCCATGGTGGAAGAAAATAATGGTATAGTGGGTCAGATAGGGGGATTGTGTCTTTGATGATGGTATGTCACGAGAAAGATATTTGGCTATAGGGCCATCGCAGATTGCCCTTCGAACAAAAATGTAGGTAGAATAACAAGCAGTTTTCAAAATGGCTGACATTGCTTGTTATTCTACCTATAATTGTTTTCAAAGGACAAATCTGCAATGGCCCTGTAGCCAAATATCTTTCTCATGACATACTCTGACAAATTCCTTGCTTAGTGTATCATCAAAGGTAGCCCGACTGCGTCTGGCCGTACAGTACTATCGCAAGCTCTGTAGTACGGCCAGACGCCCAATGCTTCCAAAAAGACTGAATTTTTTCGGCCGCTGATGTAGCGATTTTGCTACAGATTTCGATCGAGATTATCTTTTCATCCAGGACAAACATTTCCAAAGTTAAATTTCTTAGTCGTAGAGCAACTCATACCTTTTCGAAAAAACGTTCTTTGGTCTCAATATTTTCATCCATCTGGCCAAAAGACGACTTTCAGTCATCATCTTCCACAAATATCGTCCCGAAAATGCTCCCCTATGCGATTTCAAAATGGCGGCCGCGCTGTAATGTATGCATTTATGCGAGCGCGCTTGGGCAAGATAATGAATATGCATTATTTAGATCATGACCTCGTGTTTGTATGGCCAGCCGCGCCGAGTGTCCGACAAACGTCATAAACTATTAACTATTTTGGAAGCATTGGGCGTCTGGCCGTACTACAGAGCTTGCGATAGTACTGTACGGCCAGACGCAGTCGGGCTACATCAAAGGCACAATCCCATCAGCTATCTGCCGTACTAGTAAGGCTCAGTCCAAAAAGGGCGTTTTGTCAGTGGCTACGGTCATGGCTTCGGACATCACGTGAGTATCAACATGGTGGCCCGCGTTTGAGCGTTCGATGCCGCTCTCGTGGCTAACTGACCCGTCTGCCTTTACTCGAGTCGATGCGGGTGAGCTACTCGAACGCACGCATTGATCTCCATGTCAAAAAATGGATAGATCGTGACCATAATGCGCTGCGCATGCGTCAGTTGGTGACAGAATGGTCCTCGGACTTAACTTCCCTTTTAAACAAAATCTGTAGAGCCATGAGTGAGAAGAAAATGGTGCAATTTATTTAATCGATCATCAGGACTTGATTGAACACAATTTGGGGAAGAAAATTCACTTTTGGGGAATAGAAATGAAAATGTAAAATTCCCTCCACGATTCGAACCTGCAACCTGCAGCATTCAGACCAGCGATTACACAGGAGGCTACAGCGAAACCACGCAGATCACCGTGGGAATATAAGCCACTGATTCTGCATCACGAGGAGGGTCTGTAGTGGCTGACCGACCCGGCTGAACCCCGAGAACGTCAGAGCTAATGCAACGGCACGGGACTAACCCGAATCGATCCGGATGAGCTACTCGAACGCACCCTAAACTTCAGAGCTTGAGCAGTGTGGCGATAAAACGATAGCCACCTGTTTCGTTAGTTGCGACTTTAGGCTATAATTCCAGCCCAACTTTGTTATGTTTTTCTTCAACTATTGACGGGAAAGCGGAAATCTCACACTATGACCATGGAGGTAGAAATACTACCGTACCTCCATGCTAAGACCATGGAGGAATGCTAAGTGCAAAACGGGCGTTTTGTAGTGGCTATACTGCCATGGGCGTCGCGAGGGGGGGGGGGGGGGTGGCGAGGGGACGCTTTCCCCCTCCCCCGGCCTCCCTCCCCCTGGAAAAAGGGAAGGAAAAAAAGGGGGGGGGGGAAGGAAAAAGAGGTGCGAAGCCATATTGCTGTTAATTTGATTGGGGGAGGGGTAGGGCACATGTTCACCTGCCCATGCTCGGAAAACGATAAATTGAGAATAATTATGTTGAAAAAGTTGAAACATTATTGGGGAAATGTGCTTCCCCCCCCCGGAAAAAAATCCTGGCGACGCCCATGGCTACGGCCATATAGCTACAGACATCACATAAGTATCGTGATTGCCCGCGGTTGAGCGTTCGATTAGCCCGGCTGTCGTGGCTAAACTGTCGGCCTTTCCCCGAGTCGATCCTGGCCGGGTGAGCTACTCCAACACACCCTTTAAAGCCAGTTAGCCAGGCACAATTAAAGAATACCCCGCCACTCAATCTATCCACCTCGTAGCCGGCTACGGAGTCACGGTTGATTGCCCTCAATAAACCTTCTCAGCGCTAGTTGTATGTACTATGCGTCATGCTCCACTGCACTCCCACTCCGTATCCGCGTAGCCGCCAACAGAGTTGACAACTGGCGCATGCGCGTCGAGCTGTATGCGTATACCTTTTTTTTGGGGGGGGGGGGGAGGGGGGCTCACCTCTGGCCGGTTATTCCTCCCCCCCCCTCCTGGATTAGGAAGCAAATAAAAAAAGATAACCAATAGTTTCCTAGGCCTAAAGCCAATTCTTATTGCCACCTTATAGTTGCCTTGTTTATGTTTACAGAATCTATGACAACACAATTATGATCAGGTCACATGTCCGGCAAAGTGCAAACAAAATCTCAAGTATCTCTATTCTAAATATCGAAGTTCAGCTCTTTGAGGAAAAAACTCTTTCGCAACTGGGTTCGGCTCACACAAAGTGACTGCTACCCACACCGCAAACAATGAGACAGCACACCGCGATGCCGACCCGAATCTTATGGGTCCTTGTGGCCATTTTCCTGGCGCGCCGGACCGGGGCGTTCCTGCCGAACAACGCCGGCGTTTCGCTGCCCGTGACCGACTACACCCTGACCGAGATCACGGTGCAAGGCATCGTGCGCACTGTGGCCAGGTACTTCGAAGATACCAACCCGGATCGGTACAGCGCAGGCGACCTCATAGATCTTGATCCTCTGACTCCGTCGCGACTGTTTCAGAAGCATTATGGAGGTAAGGCAGACACGGTCTTAAGCCAGTTCTCATCGGTGATAAAATGTAATTCGACATTGCGTGGTGGACAGTACCGTACACAACTTGGGAGAATTTACTCTTAAAATGAGAATATTTGTTTTGCAAACTCAGAGAAGAACCAGAGAACCAAACTTGTCGCTTGCACACTGACTGAAAATCGGCACTTTAAATGTATATGAGTGTTTCCGCAGACATCTCAGATGCCCTTTACATTGTGTATCTATAACGAAAATTAAAAGATACATAACTTCAATAGATATACCTGAAGAAGTTATTTCCAAAACGCGGTGTACGCCATTTTGTTACCATTTAGGGGCCATTCAGAATTTTCAATGTTTTAAAATTTCGATCTTTTTTCCAAATTGTGGGTGGGTGGGTCAAGCTAAATAATTGAAAATCGAAATTCACTTTCCATGGAAAAAAGATAAAAAACAAAGAAAGATAGATCTTTTGACTTGCCTGAACTACGCGCAAACGTTCCAATATCGCGATGCGTGTTTCTTTTTCAACTTCGTCCCCTGTATGTACTGTCAGTGGCGTAGCCAGGAATTTTTCGGGGGGGGGGGGGGCGCTGGGGGGGGGGGGGGCTGGAACATGTATGGGGGGGGGGGGCGTCATGTAGATCAATGATAATTTTTTTAGAAACTCAAAATCTCAGTGGGGGAGGCGACTGGGGGCGACAAGGTTTCATGGGGGGGGGGGGGGGCTGTCGCCGTCTGTCGGTCTTCTATGCTGTTATGTTTACTTTCAGGTACCTTCAATGGTACTATGTTTAATTAACCTGTTCATTTGTTTAATTAAACTAATAACGCACATATAGTTGCCAAATATGGCACTAACAAGTTTGAGGTCGGCAATTTCGTCTTTAAAAATCTGGGTACGTCGGGTTACCGTACACACAATTGTCCTGGAAACAACAGTACCAAAGTACAGAAAGTCGTACGCAAGAGCTCCCCAGCAAGTATCGCTGACGCCATTATGATTCCAAAGTTTCTCACTGTGTCACACAGTGAAATATCTAAACAGCGTCGTTGTACATTTGTATTGTGAACACATAAAAGCATTCAAGTCGCGTTCTTGCACACTTTTTGCAAGTCGACATAGATATCGTTGAACCACTGCCCCTGCTTTGCATAACAAGTGCACATGAATGAACGATTCGACTTTTATTCAAAGAAATGTCTATGTACAGTCACCAGACTCTATTCAGTAAAGTCCCCGTCAAAACTAAAGTAATCAATCCACGTGCATAACGCACGGCTACACCATCGTACAGTGTGGCAGGGACACCAACAAGTAACACAACAACTAAACATTTAAAAAAAAAAAAGAAGATAAATATTCTGATTGAATTTCGTTAAAAGATACTTGTTGGTGAGGTATCACATAATTTTATCACATAAAAGAGGAAGGCCGACAACTTCACGCCGTCACTGAACTAGACACACATGTACATGGTGTTCAAGTTCATGTACATGCAAGTGCATGTACATGTACATGTTCAGTTTTTTATTAATCGAAATTAGGGGTGGGTGGGTGGGTCAAAATAATTTGGAAAAAAAGTCGAAATTTTAAAACATTGAAAATTCTGAATGGCCCCTTAGAATCCCACACTCTCCTGGTTGCCCAAAGTCAAAGCTGCCCAAGACCGCTTTTATGTACGTAAACACAACTGAATAAGGTAATAACTTAAAGTGAAAAGTGAAGCTTAGACATAGCTGTTGTGCTGTTTGTGGCCTTTAAAGTTTTATCCTTGGCTTGTGGAAATCTTTCACTTTTGTTCCATGATGGATATATCACGTTTTGGATTATACTCTTCGCCTCTTGCATGTTTTTCCTCACGTCACCGAGGGCGCGCAGTTCCTCACTAAATTTGCAAAGTATCCACCTATCCGTATCACATAAGAATAAAGCGAACCCTCAGATGTGACGTCAGAAGCAAGGGATCTATAGACCTTATTCACTAGGAAGATTCACGTGTTCACCGAATGCCTCACTTTCATTTTTTTTTTAAATGTTTAATTATTCATCAGAGCAGACGTACTAATTTGTAATGAACCTTAGTTCATTGCTTTTATTTCTACTCGCAAGGTATTGTAGGTACATGTATTTTTTCTTGTTGGATAGGGGTGAGTTTTCTGAGTAATTAGCGGACGCTCTCATTTAGGCCATCAAATTTTGCCGAATTTGGGCCAGAAGAGAGATGCACTTTGTCTTGTCTGCCCGCTTTCTGTGCAACTGACATTTCGCATTTTGCGGTTTATTATAGGTGCCAGTATATATAGTAGGCCTAAAAGACGTTTTTCACTCATAGCAAAGACAGTTAGCCTACCTACCAAAGCTGCCAATGTTCAGTTGCACAGATTGTCAGCTGTTCCCGGGTCAAATTCGACCCGAAATCCGGGTCATTTTTGACCCGATACTTTTCTGGGCCAAATGACGCTTTTCTGGGCCTAAATGACACTTTTGCCAATAAAGGTTTCAATGTCAAAATGACCCGCAAAACGATCCAGAAAAGTGTAATTCCGGGTCCCCTCTGAACCGGACATGTAAGAGTGCTACCTGGGGGCTTAGCAGAAAGAACAAAACCATTGTAAACTGGGCTTGCCACCTTCGTTGGTTGTTTTTTTTTTGTTGTTTGTTGGTTAGCATTTTCATTGCGAAACACTGTTGTGATAAAAGTAAAAGCCAAACCAGTTCCAGGGAGCCCAGAGATAGTTTGTTGGTTCCGTGTCCTGCTCTTGTGGGTCAGAAACGAACTGTAACAAACGAGAAGACACTTTTTGTGTTATAATTTTCAAAAGTTAGTTGAAAAGGGTCATGCTTTTTACTTTTAGCAGTAAAAAAAAAAATCTGAACTTTTCAACACTGACAAATGCCACCCATCGTTAATTTCAATTCGTTTGACATGTTTAGTTGTGTTGTTGGTTACCATTTTTCAAGATGACAAGACTTATTAATGTTGCCTTTTATCCTTGTCATTAGTGCTTTGTGATAAAAAAAATACACCTTTGACATTCAACATTGTTCCCGGGAACCCAAAGGTATATTTTTTGTTGGCGTTCTGTGTCAAACGTTTGTAGATCACACGAGATTAACTTGAAAAGATGTTCTTAGTTACTTTTGTGCAGTACATTCACGCTGTGCTTTGAAACAGCTACGTGCAGGAATGCAGGGGACGTGCTTTCGCAGTTGCTGGCCCCCGAACACCGAACTCTTCCCATCACCATCCAGAATGCATCATCTCTTGAACAGTTTAAGGGAGTCTTAAAAACCTAGTTGTTTTGATTTTATTAATTTTGTTCCCAATTCTGTTGATTTGTTTACAGCGTTTTGGATCCTTTGGCATAAGCGCCTTACAAATGTTGTTCAATTGTTATGAGCACGTTTAAGGTGGTCAAATAATCACTATATTGTGTTCACTCAGATTTGGCCAACATTATTTTTATGATTTGAAAATCCATTCGATTAGGTTGTATACCTTCGAGCCACGGTGGCATTTATTGTTTTGCCTCCTAGGTTGAGCGTCACATAATGGAACAACTTTTCTGTTCTTTATGATTAGCCTTTCAACAACCTAAAAACGAGAAATTCGACTCAATACACTCAATAACGCAATGACTCAAGACACGAATAAACTCTTAACGCGTCGACAGTGGGTTTAGGGGTTGTTTCGAAATGTAATCCTTTCCTAAAATGAAGTTACCGGGTGGGGATTTGCTTTATGTCGAGGAATGGGAATATACACTCATCCTATGATACTTCTTCAGTTGTTTGTTTCCTTATTCTAGTGTTTTTATCATGTTTTTCAGTGTTCCATGAAAAGCCTCTGTCAATCCATTTGACTGTTTGTGGGTGATAGGGTGAGGTGATGATTTGCTGTATGAATCTGAGAGTCTTACACAGCGATGACAATATTGGACATGAAATTTGCCTCCTCATCATGCACAATTTCTTTTTGCAATCCTACTCTGGTGAATACGTCAATCGATGCATTACCCACGTGCACTGCTCTGATTTTGGCAAGGGCGATAACCTGAGGCCTGTGGCGTACAGTCACAAATACGCAGCAAGTATTTATTTTTCCCTCTGACCTTGGGAAAGGACCTACGATACACTGCAAAAACTGTAGTGTTAATTTAACACCATTCGGTATCTATATAGGACAACACCAGTAAAATTTAACACCAGATGGTCCTATATAGATACCAATGGTGTAAATTTAACACTGCAGTTTTTGCCGTGTATCAAGTATAATTTTGACCAGAGAGCATCACACCCTGTCTTTAGTTTTGGATTACACCCAAGTGTCCTGCTAGCATAGTGTGACTTGTGCTAACTTGAGTACCCCTAGCCTCTACACTTTTGAAGGAGCACTATCTGATACACAATATCATTTTCCATCAGTGTCCACAATGACTCCTGCTCCTACCAGTCTTTCTTTCCCACTTACGCATAATCAAACCATCATTTTCATAGAAAAGCACACCCTGTGTTTGTCTACTACACTTTGGGGAACTAACCTCTCCTTAATAACCATTCAGACTCTCAACCAAGCTTTACAAGTCGATCAATGTATGTCTGTCTAGCATGTCTGTCTTTTATCATTATGTCCTTGACTATGATATTTGAGTTTGTGACACTATCCTGCAGTCTTTCACTATCATATCCTGGTTCAGGATTAGCAGATAACCTGTGCATATTAACTGTATCAACCTCGTCATATTGTGTAAATGCTTGGTTTTTTTTTTAAAGTACACACACCTCTATGACAAATCGATAAGTGAGGGAGGGACATGCATTTGTCTTGTCTGTCAGATTTCTGGGCCACCGACATTTCTCATTTTGCGGTTATAGGTGCTGGTATATAGTAGGTCTGTCAACACCTAACACCAGAGTTTTTTCTCCGATGAAAGACTTATCAACCAAAGCTGCCGATTGGCGTATTTTCAGTTGTGACTCGCAGCTGATTTCTAGCGTAGCAAACTCCCGGGTCATTGTTGATTCGGAATGCGGGTCCTAAATGACCAGAAACTTTCCTGAGTCAAAACGACACAAGTTGTGGGCCAAAACGACACTTTGCCAAGGTTTTCAGGTCAAAATGACATGGGAAAATATCCAGAAAAGTATCATTTTGACCAGGAATAGTGTTATTTCGATCCTGAAAAGTATCAGTTCAAATAGGACCATGCAGAATCTGACCCGGACATTTCAGAGTGCATAAAGCAGCATGTGTAAGGAAACCAACGATTCCTCAAAACTATCCTAGGCACTGTAGCTTAAAAGCCTGAAGAAACATGTAGAGAGAAGACAGTGATAAGAAACTACAGTTTAAGAGGTGGGAGGAGAACCCTTGAAGAATATCCTTGGGGAAAGCCACGGAATCAGGCAGGGACTGAAAACCCAATCCACATGTGGACCAGGTGAGGAAAGTAACCACCGCGCGTAAACCCTAGCACTCTCTCCAACTACCTGCGGGCCTTTGTAGAAAAAAATCTGATCTTTGAACTTAACTTTGCCACCGTGGTTAATTGTTTTTTTAATGGTGTTGTTGGTTACCATTCACAGAGTGAAAAATGCTGCCTTACTTCCTTGGCAACAGTGCTTTGTGATGAAAAAGACCACCTAGTGTACTTAACATTGCTCCCGGTCAGTAACCAGGCTGTGTGTTTGTTCTCCGTTTCGTGCGCTTGTAGATAACCTGTACTATAAGAAAACACACTGTTTTGATGTGTAGGTTTGCGAAATAATCTTGAAAGACGCTGTTATTACCTTTGTACAACTATGGCAGTACATTCTCGGTAACAGCACTTTGTGCTATACGTGAAACAGCTACGGGCAAGAGCAGTTTAATAAGGTGCTCAAATAAACACTATTGTGTTCACTCAGACTTGGCCAACACGATTTTATCATGTCGAAGTGCAGGGAAAGTTATACCTTATAGGGAGGTTGACCTTTTTTAAATTGCCTCCTAGGTTGAGTGTCACATTGTGCAACAAGTTTTATATTTTGTTGGCTTAGCCTTTCAACAACCTAAAAACGAGATACCCAATGGGCCTGAGACGTAATGACGTCACGCTTTGTTTACACGTGCGCTTTCCTATATGTAGCAGACGGTCCCCACTTTATCTGGCGTCCCGACTTCGCTCCCATAGCAAAGCGCATATGTAAACAAAGCCATTACGTCATTACGTCTCGGGTCTATTCAAGACACGAATAAAGCATTGGCAATGGGTTTAGAGGTTGTTTCAGAAAGTTATCATTTTCTATAACGGTTACCGCTCTGGGAGCATTTCAGAGGTATATTATGCATGGGCGTCGCGAAAGGGGGAGAAAGGGGACGCGTGCTGCGGCCGAAAGCTTCTGAAAGAATGCAGGATCACCCCTGATGCCATTGCACACCTCGATCCTGTGTTGCACCAAGCGATCGAGGAGGTGTGCAATAACATCAGGGGTGATCCTGCATTCCTTCAGAAGATTTGCATAAGGTCTACAAGGTTCCGCCTGCTTTCCATAGTCATGCACATATATTTAGAGGCGCAACGAAGGAATATGCATACTGTTAGAGTACTTTTTTAATGAATACAAGAAAGCAAGAGTGGACATTTAAAAAAAAAATCGAAGGGATTAGCTACACATCTGACCGTGATGCTTCAGCTTGCCGCTAACGAAATTGACTGACTGAAGGTTTTAATGAATGATAAAACAAACCGGGTTTGGTTTTTCAATTCAACGCCAATCTTTACACGAGACGAATCCCCGAAACTAGGGCAAATCAGAATGCTGTATATTCGCGAATTGCACTGGAACAAATATGAAATCTTTAGGTTTAAAATCGAAATTGGAATTAAGCATGGAGCCCAACGGCGTTCTCAACGAAATTAAATTATCCTTACATGGAATGTAAAGTGTTAATGGGAAAAACAGAATGCAGTCAACGGAATAGACCTAAATATGCGGAAATGATGTTGCCCAAAAACCGATCACACCTGTTTATGTTACATACCTAGTGTGGGCAGTCCTTTGTTTTCGTGTAGTTAAGAAAAAAACCTGTGAAAAAAAACTCATTTTACTCGTGAAATCTCTTTCAACCCAATTTTTGTATTATGATTCCCTTGAGTGTTTGTCTTCATTTTGCGATGGATAAATGCCTCTAAACCTGTTTTCCAGAGAGGGGGAAACCCTGTGTGGACGTGGGCAATTCCACACAACGTATCTGAAAACTGGTTTATGTGGACATCTTTTGTTCGGAAGTCCACACAGTGAAGGTAATGCTTGTACACTCACTCACTATTCACTCACCCACTCGTCCCGAATCCATTGGGGACGTTCTGGATGCTGTTGCAGACAGCCGTCTCCTTGCTGATTTTTTTCTATATCTTTCGGCCTGCTGAAGTAGAGTCGGTATGCCCAGGACTGTCCACTCCTTTATGTTGTCGGGCCAGATTTTCCTCTGTCTTCCTCCTTCTGCAGTGCCATACTTATTATCTACGTGTTAATTATGGTTAAGGGTGTGATGCGTCTCGTAAGTGAAATGAACTGATATGTCGGTATGGGGTAAAGTCCTCAAAAAGAATGGTTTCATCGCAACTATATGGTTTATTTTAATACAGTTTTGTTGTTTTATTTGGGTTAGATTGCGTCTATTCCACCAAATTCGAGAAAGCCATCAAAGCCATCCTGGATGCCAACGTTCAGATCTCTAGCGATTACTCGCACAAGGCAGTCTGGCACTTCAACGGCAACCAGATCAACAAAGGTTGGTATCAAAATGATCACGCCAACTCTAAAAAATACTTGGTATCTCGTGAAATGCACGCTTCTTGATCCCACTGCACCCACCAACCCAAGCCTTGACAGTCATATCTTGTCTGTTCTTAGCTGAAAAACCAAACTTTAATAAGACAAAAATGAGAATTGCGCTTTTGATGTCAAAATAGATGAAAGAGGATTTTGTGAGCACATTTCTCTGAAGTTTCCGGATGTTCACTATTTCCAAAATTCTAATCATGCAGGATGGTCAGATTTCTCAGCCTTTTCGTGCTTTCCGCAAAACCCTTTTCTCGTAACAATGATATCTTGATGACCTAAAACAAATTACCCCTGTCAAAAGCTTTAAAGTCAAACAAGCATGATAACAGTAGTGTCAATTCTTGTGCTTAATATCTCGTTTTTTTATACACACTCCGTTGACACTGATATTTCTCTGCGTTGATATAGCACCAAGCCAGATGTGAACAAATGCAAATTCAAATTCAATTTGTGATACAAATTCATTCAGTTAAATATTCGTACTATGCAAGCCTTATGAACAATTTCAGTTGCACAAAGTTTAGTCGAAAGTAAAAAAGAATTAAGTCGCTTTCGGAATTTGGACACAAAGTTGGGCGGAGGTTTCCCCATGTGGCGCATTTGAATATTTTTGTATAAAAAGTTCCCGATTAAAGATTAAAAAATACATATCTTCACTCAGATTGTAAGTACTCCACGTTTGTTGGTACGAAAACTTTGGGGACCCTACAAAATGAAGCTCAATGTTTGTAAACAAAGTTAAAAGGCTTTTCTTTCTTTTTTTGAAATTTCGCTTCAAGCCAACCGCAAGATGGTGGGCATCCGGGACACTCTGCTGACTCTCCTTTTGGCGGGAGACGAGAACGCGCCTGACTACGACGTGGCGCGCCAGTACTGCGGCCAGTTCCTGCATTTGGCACACAGCTTCTACTCCAACACCAACTGGATCGAGCTGAACCGATGGCTCAACTCCCTCATTGGCGTGGACCAAAATACAGTCATAACCTCCAGTGAACTGGGTGAGTTGGTCAGTGTTTGTTTCTTTAGGTGCTAAAGTTCGGTGCGATCATCGTGGAGGTGTCCTGGCCTATAACGCCATGGTGGGATTCACCTATGCCTACATGTTTTCCTGCTTGCTGGGCAAAGACATTGGGTATTGCGAGGCTTATTTCGGATAAAAACTTGGTATAAAATTCGGAAGCGGACTCGGCTGATTTTGTTTTGCTTTATTGTTTCTTCTTTGATAAGAATTGCTGAACTCTCCCAAACTCTGTCTTAGTACCCAGTATAAATTGTGTGTGTATACACTGGTGTAAGGTGTCTGGATTTTTCGGGATACGCTTTTGGGCTTGTTTTCTTTTGTGTCTCATTTTTATGAACTCATTAAAAGAAAATGCAAATCTGGTTCTACGAAGCGCTAAGTATCTGTCAAAGATTCTGCCAGAGCTCTGAGAAGTCATGATGACGTAATCCTTCATCGTGGACCAATCGCTGGTGCTGAAGTGATCACATGATCTAGTGATCGATATATCAAGCATTCGTGCGCATTCTACTGGAATTCAACTAACAAAATGAATGTGGGAAAAAAGGTCAATAGCGCACTTGGAGATACTTTTATCGATGACCACCCACTCGGCATGCACTTGAATATAAGCACCCTGCCAGCAGGTGTGTTTTGTTTGATGTCTGTCTGAATGGCGTCATTCCATCCTCGAAAAAAGAATGAAATAAATTTGTTCGATTGTATGCATAATGAGGGTGGCTACAAAGTAGATCAGTATGTAGAAATGCCGAGCAATACTGGAGTATGCCTTGATGCAATTACCGCACCCATACATTAAAGATTTACATATTCCCACTGTGTTAACATTCTAAGTAAACAGTACAGACAAAACATTTTTGAAGAGATTGCCCTATTTCAAAGATATGATTATAGGCCATCAGTTGCGGTCCACAATTTTGGCCATTGGTATCAAATGAGGGGAATAATCGTCAAAGCGATTTTTGGCAAGGTATACACCTCCAGAGTTGGAAAATAAATTATGTGATGGCATTGCAGCGGTGGCAGCTTTTTGGGTGTTATCACCTTTTTTCCCAAAATGTCCATCAAAATGCCTGTTACCACTCTAGGGGCGGTATACCTTGCGCATGCGCACTATAATCATTTATGCCCTGATTTGATACTGACCAATCCTCCAGGCTGATGGCCTATTATTGATGTGATTGTGAGGCAGTTCCCAACCAAACAACATGAGATGGTCGAGATAATAGTCAGATGTTTTTAAAGATGCTACCGAACATTCGGAACAGTCCACCAGTGATAGTTTCTACGATTTCCATTTGGTGACCATTTATACTTCAATATACTTCAATATACAGTACAAAAGTGAATGAAAAGGATTAGACCTATTGCAAGAAAAGAGCCAAAAACAACAACAAACAAACAAACAAACAAAACAGCAATAAACATTGCTCCACTAAACGTCAGTTAAGTAAGTTAGCAGTACCCAATGTATGCACTTTTTGTGTCAAGCCCGAGTTCTCGGATGTGGAACCCCTGACCGTTTGATATCAGTTTATAGAATCAGATTCGGTTTTCTACCCATGCTCTTTATTCGACTATTTTATCGTAATGAATTTCAGTATTTATGTTTTATTTAAATGGAAAGTGGTTCCTTTTGTCTGTTTTTTTTAAACTCCATTCTAAAACTTTCGCATTGCTAGAAAAATATCAATTGAAACAAAATTTGTTTTTCGGTGTGAAAACTTGAAAATGGCAGCAAGGGGGTTTGCAAACTAAGGCCTTTAAGTAAATGAAGTTAGTTTTCCTTGTGCAGCGATTTTCTAGTTGTGATCGGCAAAATGATAGTTGCGATGTAACTATTTTGGTGCCCAATCATGAAGACACAGAGAACACTCTTAAGACTTCAAAAAGTTGCGACATAAGGGGAAATTGTCACTAAAAATTATCATCTGATATAAGGTAGAATGCTAGTCACAGAATACCTGGACGGAAGCATTTAGTAACAGAAGAATGTGTTATCTACGGTCAAAGTTATCGGTGGCCTAGCTATTTGGTAGTGCACTGACCTTGAATACGATATCTACCAAATACTTGAGTTGTATCGAGGGGGTTTCCATGAATCACTTGAGAGGTCTTAGCGTGATTACCTAGTACAGGTATTATTTGTGATCCTGTATTTCACAATCACTCATGTCATCTTGGTATTGCTGCTTATTTACAATTTGTCAGCAATGATCAGTACTTGTCGTTAATATAAAATTTAGAATGGTATAATCAAAGAACTTGCTTAGAAAATGCACATTTGAAGCATTATATTTGTAAGCTTTGGACTAAGCATGTATTGGTAATAATCCTATGTATTGGTAAATATCAATTAAAACCTGAATAATCGATATCACAAATTGCCCAACCATGTAGAAGAGAAGGTATATCATGCAAATCTAATAGTAGTTATGGCCTCCTTAATAGAATATGTACAAAAACATAAAATTGGAGCATAAGCTTTGGACAATGCGTAGCCCAAATCAGATGTTTTGATAAATATCAATAAAAATGTAACTAATTAATATCGCAAATTGCCCGACCTTTATCAGGTGTCATTGTGCAGATTATACAATATGAACTCCTTGGTTAGAATACGCACAAAACATCATCCAACAAAACATTGTTAAACTTAGTACAGGGACTGGGACGGGATGGGTTTGCGGTGGCACCGTGTGGATGGGTCTCTTTTGTGAGTGTGTGTGGTTCTGGGGGGCGGGGCTCAGCGTTTCGAGCGGTGTGCTCTGCCTGTCGGCGGGAGAATGAACATTTTCCTGAAGACGGGCGGAGCATGCTGTTCGGGGCGTTGGGTCCCTCCGGTTCTTTTTCGGAGCCACACGTGCTCACGGGGGAGATTTGTTCACGTGGTGCTACCGCGGACTTAACTTGTCTTAGTATCTTTCCACCATGCAAACCTTGTTCTAATCTCACAGTACAGGTACACAGTAAATTGACATATCTTACTTGCCTACGGACAGATGTTATAAGTTAATTTTGTTTTGTTTTTTAATTTTTGTATTTATGTAGTTTTTACATTCGTGCTTTTTATGTGTTTTAAACCAAATAACGTGTAAAAAGGCCATGGAATTTCCTGCAATGGGATAATTGTATTGTATTGTATTGTAACTGCCGAACTATTGCTAAAATAGCAATTTGGCTTGGCGCTACATTGAATTTGTTTTAGTTTGGAAAAAAAATGCAAACATCAGTATTTTTTGTTGATTTCCCAAGGATACGCCTGCGATGACTGGCCAGCATTATCCAAACACATTATATTATTATGCTGCAAACACATTATTCTTTATGAAACTTATGAATAATGAGGTTTTTAACATGTAGAATGAGACGATTATTGAAAAGTGTTTTTGTCACAAGGAGTTCTTGGAGGTGTAAAGTTTCATTACATACGCCGAGCCTTTTATGGCAATCGTTTGATCTACAATAATAAGTCATCGACACCAGGAAGTGTTACTTCGTGAAAACCGCGGTAACTGAAGTGTGCGAGCACACATCGCTGACGAAGTAATTCAGATGCACAAATTGCGTTCAATACTTCGTGGGTCACATTTAGCTTTAATTTCTCTTGGCGAATGGCGACATAAACAAATTAAATGAAATGAACTACATTTTGAATACAGACAACGTTTTGAAGTAGGAACGCTTTTAAGTATCATTTCTTTTCAAACCCTTTCAAACTTCTGTGTTCTTTACCAGGTATAATTGCTCCGCTGAGCTGGCGTCAGAGCCCGGGAAGTGTAGACATGTGCCAAAACTGCCCCGGATCCAACTCGCTGTAAGTCATCGGAAAAGAAAGAATTCGTGGAAATGCAGTGTCGTACAGTCGCAATACTTGCGATGGATCACAAGTAATCACAAGTCCATCACAATATATCGCAAGACGTGTCATCAAGACAGTCAACTCATTCATAAGTCGATCTTCCTAATCAAAACGCTAAAACGAACTGTGATGAATTAGGCATGTCTTTGTAATTTGTCAACTCCTTGACTTGTGATTTGATGTGCGATTTACTTGTGCCAGAACTTGTGTGATCTAATTACATATGTACCTCGAACATTTCACCAGATGTTGCTCTACTGGTCACATTGATTGATTTAGTTCATGACAAACAAAAAATCTACAGGGTGAGTCAAACTAAAGTGGAACCCAAACCCCAAAAGTTATATTTCATATTAAAAAAATAATGACTGGAAAGCCAATTTCATAAGCTACTTTTAGATGAAAAATTACTGAAATTGCTCAATCACCATTTAAACGCAATGACCCTAAACCTGTTTCGTTCAATAAAAAGCAATTTATTGTGTATTCTTACTACTTTGAACAACAAAGAAAATGACACAGAATACTTGTTTCAACAACAGCTGTCAACAACTGTAGTACACAATATCTTTATGACAACCCTGGTTAGGCAAATGATTTGATTTATAAAATCCACTTTTTTGGAAAAGACGGGCTTTCAAAAGGACTTTGTTGATTATTTCTAACCTTTAAACTGGGGTTTTATCACAGGTGATGTTTGAAGACAATTGTGACGACGATTCTTGAAATCACATTTTGGACGAAATACGTTTTAGTTTCATTGCGTTTAAACGGGGATAATCTTTAAACTGATTGAGCAATTTCAGTAATTTTTGTCATCTAAAAGTATTTTATAAAATTGGCTTTTCGGTCATTATTATTTGGTGCTACACATTTTTTTTAAAATATGAAATATAATTTTGGGGGTTTGGGTTCCTTAAAAAAAACACCTAACCCTGTACTTTAAAGTATTCACTGAATACAGTGACCTGGAATATACAAGTTTGGCGAACGCCTGAAAACTTTGTGAAAAGGAGGGCCTTTAAGAAATGTAAAATTGCATTTTGTTTTATATTTGCGATCAGTGAGATAGTGTTCATAACAGTTCAGATAAACAGCCGATGTAAACTGCATGCTTACTGACTGGAGGGTCTATCTTTTCGATTCCAACAGAATCTTTTAGTTTTCTCAATTTCCTCAGAAAAGCAGTGGCTTGCATTGACCTTAATTGAAAAAAACCCTCTTTTTTTCTCTCAATTCCGGACTTATTTGTAATTCTTCACAGCCCTGGGCTACAAGATTGCTCCGACAATCTTCGTCCGTACGTGTACTATCTGACCAGCGGCTACAGAAGTGGGCAAGACAAGGTCAAACCAGGTATTGTATATGAGTACAGCTCCATTTTGAAGGGAACATTTATTCCATTGGTTTATATATGAGTAGATGACTTTCATCTAAATGCTAGATACAAACTTTATATTGCGTGTATTTTTTTGAGCTTCACCGTTTCAATTTCATATTGACTTCGAATTTAATGGTTTTAATCAGTTTGAGATTCTGAAATACAACCGTCACAAAAAAATCATATTAATTTGTTAACAGACACATCGATTATTAATTTATTTTTTTCATGAATGAATTTACTGATTTTGATCCAATGAATTTTCAATTGAATCACCAGAGAGTTGCATGTGAGGCTTTTTTTTTTGGGGGGGGGGTTAAATTCAATTTAAACTACATGTATTACCCGAATATATGAGGATCTAGCCCTTATACTTAAATGTAACATAGGATCATTTGCCTTCATTTCATTTTTCCCGTTGGAAACAGCAAAATTGCTCAAAAATCTGAAGTAGGGTGCATAACAAGTAACCCGTGGAAGTTTTAGCCCAGTGGCTATACCATACATTTTGAGAAAACAGAGAAAACACACATGCACGATTGTTTTGGTCTCGTATCCGGATTCTGCTGCTGACGCACCTAAAAAAATCCCACTGGCACACCTTTGTAAAATCACCTTCAATTATTGTTTTCTTCGGAACGATACCATTTTAGATGGAATAATTTCACAGGGTATTTTGAACCATATCCTTATCTTCACTTTGAGCAATATCGATGGGTCTGTTTCTAGGTAATTACCAAGTGCCTCTAAGTACAATAAATCGTATTAAAAATGCCCAAGATGAAACAGAGCCCTAGAATCTGTGACAAATAAACCTATTGTTCCCATCTTTTGGAAAAACCCAATCAATTCCCTGGCCTCTGGTCTGCTCCTCGATGGATTGAGTATTTCGATAGTTTGTCCATGCGCCGTCAGAAGTCAAAAGCTCATAAATAATCAACCGTCATCAAACACAATCGGACGAATATAGGCAGGTTGAAGTGGATGTCAAACAGATATTCCGTGCCAAAGCGACAAAAGATTGCCTCTTGATTAGTTTGAATGGCGCCGCGTCACTCAAAAGAATAACCGTTTGTTGTGGCTTATCGATTAGCATCACGCTACCGCCACAAAATATTTGCACATGTGAATCCCACTTGTCTAAATGCTGGGGTTCGAAGTCTGTAACCCCAGTCCTTTACTGATATTATTGTAGAGAAGTTTCTAGATTTAGACAAAGATCAAATAAAGACTGGATGCAAATAGGAATTGCACAACTCGGTCACCGGTTGGCATTGATGAGGGATGAAGAGTCAAGGTTGAAAAAAATGCCCCAAGCAAACATTGTCTAAAAAGAAAAACCCTTGAAAGTGTTTGAAATATATCACCGTCTCCAACTGTTACCAAGTTGACGAAATGGTTGCTATGTTTCGCATCGATTAAACATGATAAAATGACGTCAATATTTTGGACTGCATATAGTATACGAACCTGTGCAAATGCGACAAGTTTAAAAGCATTTCACATCTGCCGTTTCTGCGCATCAAACTATGAAGTCAACTACTTTGAAAATGTGACGCAAATATGCATAATTTCGCAAGAAAGTAAACAAAAATAAATGCAGTTAGATGTAGGTATCATATTGCGGATACATGCACCCAGTTTATAAAAAGGCTTCTTTTTTCTTTTCTTTTTAATAAGAACTAAACTCTTGTTAATTAACCGATCCCAAAGCTGTTTTCTCTCACATAGATTTTAAATCAATTTTTATCAAAACAGATTATGCATGCAGGATATTCGTGCAAGTGCAAATAGGTCGCGAAATTGTGACGTAAGCGGCAAATGTTCCTCCTGCCGAATGAAAACCGCGAAGTGCGACTCATTTCAATTCCTGCGAAGCTAGTTTCGCCGCAAAGGATTCTTGACGTCATTTGCGTAGTAATGGACATCAATAACCATAGGCGTAGCCAAGGGGGGCATAGGGGGGCCATGGCCCCCCCTGCTGTAAAAAAAATGACATTTTACCAAAACCCGACGTTAATTACGAGTACGAAATATGAGTATGTGTATTTGATTGTCCGAAAATCATGTAGGCCCCCTAATGCCTTTTTCTATAAAAAAAACCGTCTTAAAAACTTTTGTCAAATAATTCAGGGGAAAGGGGCCAGAAATGGCCTCAGATTGCACCACACAGCATGTAGGATCAAAAATGTCCCGGGGCCCTTAAGCGGGCCCCGGACCTCATGCCGTATTTAAACACGTTCTTGACCAAGTTGAATACAATGAAAAACTCTTTATACTGTATTCGATGTAAAATCAGGCAAAACAAAGGAATACCAAAAACATATAAGGCCGAATAAGAAGAAAAACATGTTTCTCGTCCGGGTTTTTGAAAAAAGGAGGAAGAGCGGCTTTTTATTTTTTATTTTTTTCAAGATGACCGCCATTTTAAAATTTCCTGCAACCGTTGGTGTTTCCAATGTTCAAAGACACTTTCAAAAGAAAAGGCAAGTTGGACAAGAGAACTGAACATATTTACAGTGTCATTTAGAGTTGTATTGGTATTGGTATTTATTTTCCGATGAATTGGTGGACTTGTTCGGTGTTTTTTACTGAATTTTTTCAAAAGTAAAAAAGCCTCCAAAAAAGGAAGCGGGTGGGGACGAGAAACATGTGGTTTTTTTTGCTTTGCCTAAGGCAAAAGAAAAATGTATTTTCGCAATTAAAACTAGACATTTCCAAAGCAGGCAACAAGATGTTTGCTGGTAGGGGCGGATCTGGGGTGTTGGGCGTGGGCCACCATTTTTTCCTTCAAAAAATAAAAGCAAGATGTAGAGAGGGAGAGAGACCCAAACAGAGAAGAAAGGGAAGGTAGAGACACAATTAATACGGCAGTTCACGTCAAACCGTAGCCTGCTAGGATTAGTTGCACACAAGACGACATTATTATAGGGGGTCTGTCATACCTTTAGCTTTTCGAAAATAAAAAAGTGACGGGATCAAGAACTGCAACAAGACATCGCGTGGCGACGAAACCTATGCTAGTATGTTGTACATTACACAGGAAAATGCACCCATACCTCTCTATTGCATGCAGGACGCACGGCGGACAAGCCTTTGGAATGGGTGTCAATCGGGGGGGGGAGGAACATGTTCTTAAACATTGCACATGTCTTAAAGTCATGGGCGTTTGAAATTGTGTCCCCCATCCTTCAAAAAGTGGGGGGGGGGGGGGGGGGGGGGACAGGGGGACATGCCCCCCCCCCCCCACTTTTTGAAGGATGGGGGACACAATATCAAATGCCCCCCCCCCCCGATTTTTGAACTCGTGTCTCATTTACAGGGCCCTATTATTATATGCAGTGTATCTTTTGCTAAGAAAATAATGGTTAAAGTGGTCAGAAATTGCCTTAGATCGCACCACAGAGCATTTAGAATCCAAATTTTTTCGGGGCCCTTAATAAGCGGGCCCTGAACTCCTCACCTTTAGCTGAGAATAGGTTATTCAATGACTTCAACCTCGAAAATAATGTTAAAATTATTATCTTTTGCTAAGAAAATATTGGTTAAATAAGGTAGGCAGAAATTGCCTCAGATCACACCACAGAGCATCAAGAATCAATTTTTTGGGGGGCCCTTCAGCGGGCCCCGAACCCAACGCCTTTAGCTGAGAATTATAATAGGCCTAGCTTATTCAATGACTTCAACCTCGAAAATGATGTTTAAAAAATATTATTATCTTTCGCTAAGAAAATATTGGTTAAAGTAAATTGCCGCAGATCGCAGCACAGAGCATCTATAGAATCAAATTTTTGGGGGGCCCCGACCCAAAGCCTAGCTCAGAATAGCTGATTCAATGACTCCAACATCGAAAACGATGTTCAAATTATTTTCTTTTGCTAAAAAAATATTGGTTAAAGTGGTCAGAAATGGCTTCAGATCACACCACAGAGCATCTAGAATCCAATTTTTTTCGGGGCCCTTGAGCGGGCCCTGAACCCAACGCCGTAAGGGCTTCGCGCTTCGTGCTCGCATTAGTTCTGATCAAGGTATGTCCCCCCACTTTTGAGAAGCAATAATGACGCCCCTGCTTAAAGTTGGGGTATCGTATCGTTTGTCCCACCCACTTTTTTTCATCACCGAATAAACCTTGTAGCCTACTAGTACTACAGTTTGATTTTATAGTTTTCAGGATAGCTGATTCAATGACTCCAAACTCGATGTTTAAATGGTGATCTTTTGCGAAAAAAAAAGTGTTTAAAGTGGTTAGATATTGCCTGAGATCACACCATGTAGAATCTAGAATCCAATATTTTCCGGGGCCCTTAAGCGGGCCACGGACCCCACGCCACGCATTACTTTTCATCACCCCCCTCTTTGGCCTTCAGCGTAGGCGACACAACTTGCCTACACCACTTGCTGCTTGTTACATTTCACACACCCCCTTTTTGGACAATCCTAGTTCCGCCCCTGGTTGGGGTTTGTACAGGCCGGTCGGACTTGGCCCCCCTGATCCAAATTCCTGGCTACGCCTGTGTCAATAACTGACGTCTTTTCCTCATCCTAATTAAAGCCTATAGTTGTATTCTATCTATTAAGGAAACGCAAGGATTTTGAAAGTGTCAGGCAATTTCCTTTGGGAGCTGAAAATACATTCCCCCCTCCCCCCCCCCCCCAAGTTTTAAAGATTGAAGAAAAGCCTCGAAATGGTATTTAAGGGTAGCTGCGTGAACTCAGGCCTGTGAAGAGTAGAACCTAGTCCGCATGTCCGCATGGACAGGAACAGAGGTGCGGGGAAAAGTACCACTGCGCCAACCTTACCCCAAAAACCGAATATTGTATTTGGTATAAGAGTGTTGTAGTCGAGTCGAGTCCATCACCAGTCCTCACAAGTCCTTCACAAATCGATCAAAAGTCAGTTCCAAGTCAGACATAAATCCTCCAATTCGCAAGCTATTCAAATGGCTGAGACAAAGACATTTCTTTGCTATTGTTCTCCACCTGTTATTTGTTTCCGAATGTACGAAATCACTGCGTAAATCACTTGTAACTGGATTTGTAATGTACCTGTCATGGACTTGACACCAAGCACTGGTTCACTCTTAAAAGATCCGGGTCTAATTTGACCCGGATTCCAGGTCGCGTAATGAAAGTTTCAGTGTCAAATGACCTGGGAAACGATTCAAAGAAGTGTCATTTTGATCCGGAAAAGTGTCATTTTGACTCTAAAAAGTATCAGGTCAAATCTGATTTGTCTAATTTGACCCGGATTCCAGGTCGCGTAATGAAAGTTTCAGTGTCAAATGACCTGGGAAACGATTCAAAGAAGTGTCATTTTGATCCGGAAAAGTGTCATTTTGACTCTGAAAAGTATCAGGTCAAATCTGAGCCGGCTTCCGGATCCAATTTTACCCGGGACTTTTACGAGTGTATATCACCCCTGAACTTCATTCTTTGTTTCCCAGCTGGCGCCGCTGACGGCGTCTGGGGAAAGTGTTCCCATGGAGGGCGTTACGACGCGTCCTGGACCGAGGTCGCAACCGGGGAATCAACAAGGAGTCCACGGACGAAACGAGGACCCCGCACTCCACCCTCCACGAACAGGCCGCGCTGACGGCAATACAAGCCACCGAGGACTTCTTCTATCACCCAGGTATCAAAGACAGGAGTGTGGTTTAGTTAAACAAAAATATTTTAAAAAAGGCGTGGCCAGATATGAATACGGATGTAGCTTAATGGAAAGGGAGGTATTATCTAGTAAATGGGGCCGTGGTAGAATGAAAAGGGCGTGGTCCAATACAAAAAGGCTGTGCATTTGGAAGGTGTGGTCTAATGAAAAATGGGATTGGTGTAACAAAAGGGTGTGGTCAACTTAAAGGGGCATGGTCTAAAAGGATGTGTAAGCCTGACAGTGATTGAGAAAAATGATAAGAAACGTTTAAGGAAAGTCGTTTGTCCTACCTTTGGTGAGGAGGTGCTGGGTACGTTTTATATGTGACTGCAGTGTGATTTTAAGTTGGACATACTTTGTTTTCCCCACCAGTCAGGGGTCTGTATAAACTCATTGGTGAGCGGAAGTTCCGCAGGTTGCTGAACCTGGACGTGGGGACATCGCTGACCTTCGTCATTGACGTCTCAGGCAGCATGTCAGACGACATCAAAGCGGTGAAAGAAGAGACGATCCGCATCGTGGAGAAGCACAACCAGACCTGCTTGGCCGCATCCAACTATGTCGTTGCACCATTCAGCGATCCAGGTCGGTCGAGTTGGCGGGGATATAGGTTCCCACTTCCCAGCCACTCTGCAAAGCAGGGAAACCTTGGAAATTTGGTTCCATTTTTCCAGTCAGGAAAAAATCAGAGAATTCGGGATAAACACCAAATATCACTTTATCAGGGAAAACTCTGGTAATTTGACAGCAATTAAACTAAGAGAAAGGTTTTCGTCAGTTAGTCAGTTAGCGTATGCTGTGTCCCAGTTGTATCCAGCGACTGACTGGCATTAAAACAAGCTGTGGTGGCTTTGTAGTGTTTATGCAGTGTGACTGTTTTTTACTGAGTTGCTTATTATTACTGGACTTCCCAGCAACCTCCTTAAACTGAAAATTTTTCCCATGGAATTTTGGAAACTTATCAGAGGAGTATCCCGGTTGTAGTCAACACCCGGGACATTTTATTTATATTTGGGATAATTGTTTTGTGTGCAATCGCTTTCAAGAGGGATCAAAACATTTAAACCATCACATTTTGAAGTAATTCCTTTGGGGGGGGGGGGCGTGCAAACAATCACCAAAGTGCTGACATGTCACCATTTAAGGTACAGGCTCAGAGTAATTTACCCTTTTTTATCTTCATTAGATAAATATCTCTTTTGCAATTACTGTATGCATTTCCCCTAGTGACGACTATAAATTGCAAATAAAATTTATTAAAATTATTATTTATTATTATTAAATGGTTTATTTCACTCTTCCGTCGCAGCCCGAAGGCTCAATTGTGGGCAGGTTTACATTGAAAACATTTTTTAAAAAATAGAGGTAAAAACTGTATGCAATTACAATAAAAATAATGACAAGACCGTAATCAAAATGTAATCCAAAATCAAATTGTAATCCAGGTTTTGGTCCTGCCATGGTGACCACTGTTGCCAGTGAGTGCATCGAGTATCTGAGCGGGCTGAGTGCTGGAGGAGGCTATGATTGCCCAGAGCTTGCCAACAGCGGCTTGGAACTCGGTATCCAGAACAGGTAATAACCTAGTCCGAGTAACTTGGACCCAACTTATCGCCTTTTTTAACATTTGGACATGGTCTGGCGATAGTGGGGTCCAAGCTAATACCGCGACCTGGACGACATCATCCTGTCACTGTCCCAAAAACCAACATTTTCCAACAAAAAACATCAGATTTCACCTTCAAAACGGCCTCCAAATTACTAGATATGCCACCTGAGGTACAAGTAGACATCGATAATTAAGATGGTTGTATTGAAGTTTACTTACGATCCGGAAAAAAAGTGAAATTTTCCGTTCATATCGGAGAGCTCCCCTCGCGATCTTGAACACGTTAAATTTCCGATCGTGTTTAATGTTTGAACGACGCGATTTCTTCTACATGCCCAGCGTACATTCGATGGTCCCCGTATCCCGAGTGCGATTCCGTTACCGAGCGCGCGCGATGCATCGATTATGATAATGAGTAGACTGGATCACGTTTGTAAATACATGTGCATTTCAAACGATAATAGGGAGTCGGGAACTAGCGCAGCTTTTATGGCGGGTACCAGTTCAAGCTGGTTCCCGATTCCCTTTTACAGTTCGAAATGCACATGTATGTGTTTACAAACGTGACTCATTATCATAATCGATGCATCGCGCGCGCTCGGTAACAGAATCGCACTCGGGATACGGGGACCATCGAATGTACGCTGGGCATGTAGAAGAAATCGCGTCGTTCAAACATTAAACACGATCGGAAATTTAACGTGTTCAAGATCGCGAGGGGAGCTCTCCGATATGAACGGAAAATTTCACTTTTTTTCCGGATCGTAAGTAAACTTCAATACAACCATCTTAATTATCGATGTCTACTTGTACCTCAGGTGGCATATCTAGTAATTTGGAGGCCGTTTTGAAGGTGAAATCTGATGTTTTTTGTTGGAAAATGTTGGTTTTTGGGACAGTGACAGGATGATGTCGTCCAGGTCGCGGTATTAGCTTGGACCCCACTATCGCCAGACCATGTCCAAATGTTAAAAAAGGCGATAAGTTGGGTCCAAGTTACTCAGACTAGTAATAACCAGGGGCCTAAATCTCAGGGGATGGGGGTGTATATATCCCCCACTTTTTTGGCTTGCGGTGAAGGCATTTGATCATCCGCGTCCGCCTCCCCAATTGTATTGTTTTGAGAAACCAAACGTGGGAATTTGAGGTACTAATTTTGCGGTATTAACTTCCCAACCTGAACCAAAATGTAGTATTCATGAGTACCGAAAAGGGGGAAAATGCCATTGTTATTAAACACGCTGTTTTGATGTAAAGTTGAGGGCCGTAAGTATACATAAGGCCAAACAAAATAAGTCTCCGGTTTCTGGTATGGAGCTTGCCCAAAAAGTGGTGCGGCGACGCGGCTTTTGTTTTTTTTTACCTGATTTTTTTCCTCAAATGTCGGCTGATGACTGCAAATGGTGCCCGACTAAACTTAGTGCAAATATATGAGAGTCCAGAGAGGCCACATAAAGCTTATTCTCGATCATAACCCCACCTAAAAACGTGTTAAAATTGTGCAGCAGCAGGATTCCAGTCAAACCAGTGAGTTTGGCGGTTTTGAGACATCATCTTTGATTGAATAAATAACTTTTTCATTTTGCCGACGCGCATGGCTACGGCGACGCGCGCGCATACCAGAAACCGGAGACTTTTTTGGGGGGCCTAAAGTTGTACATTTTTATCATGATCAGCGTCTCCTATTGTCACGTGGTGTCCAGCACCCCCCCCCCCCCCCCCCCCCCCCCACTGCACTTGTCGAATTTCCACGGCCGAGCAAATTGTTTTTAATTTTTTTAAGTCATTCCCATCCCCCAGTCCCCGGCACAGATTTACGACACTGATTAGAACAACCCAGCAAGAAAAAAAGAAAGAAAATCGAAACGATTACAAAAACGCAGTTTAAAAAAAGGACATTCTTGGGAGAAGATACTTTGACCTGATAATCTTTAGGGTCAAAATGACACTTCTCTTCGATTTTGACTCGGAAATCTTCACAAAAGTGTCATAGAGAAATAGATTTGTATTTTTTTTTTTATATCAATAGCTGTTTTACTAGCAGGATAAAAGTTATTCACCTTTGAATAAAACATCGAATGAAAACAATTCACATTACGTTTTTTCCTTTGAATTATAACAGTACAGAATTTAATGATACGGTGACGAAACATGAAAGGCCCTCTTTCAGAAAGTTGCAGATGGTTGCAGATACACAAAATCTCAAAAAGTGTCTTTTATTTCCCTTAAAATATAACCAACAAATCATGGTATATCTTCTTCTGTTTTGGGGGGAAGAGCACTGGGTATGCAACTTAATTGGTATTTTGTCCTGTATATCAACGCAGTGTCAACGGAGCCAATGTGTACATGTTCACCGATGCCTCCGATAGGGATAAGGAAAAGGTGCCGGATGTCTTGGCCTTGATTGAGGAGAAGAAGGTCCAGGTCAAGTTCCTACTGACTGGCGTCTGCGGTTCCGGGTCCAGACGACGACGCAAAAGAGGTATTGTTAGGACTACTTTTAGAGTCTGTGCACTGTGTGTACAAGTACGCCTACTCTCTGTTTTATGGAAATGACAAAGAGAGTCGATGCCAACGATGCTGAGACACACCGAAATCCAATCTTGGATTTCTGAGCATACCTTACACGCGCATTACACATTCACAAAAAATTACCATCTACATGTTCGAAATTAAATATCACATCATTATCTACACATTAAAAAACAAAGCCAAAAGACCATTTTTCATCATGTGGATAGAGATTGAGACGATTTTGTTTTTAACATGTAGATGGTGTAATAATTTTTTATTAAAGATAGGCCTATAGGCGTTACCAACTACACAGTGGAAACAAAACAACAACAACATATCATCAACTACAACTTATAATAACAGTATTAACTTTAAATTCACACACAGTGGTATTCGGACATTATTGGGAGTGGCGAACATTTTCAAGGTGAAAATGAGTTGGCATTTTTTTTAACGAAATTCAACTTGTTTCTCAGTCCTAATGAATGACCTAAATCTCACGGTGGGAGGTGACCATCATGAAGGATTAGTGCGGTATGATGACAAAATTGCCCCAACTCTTTCTCACATCCTATTCAAATAGCCTGCTCTTTGGTAATAGGTCATGCCTATATCGATTTTTAAAAATTATGGACATGAAATACATGTATAGGACAGATAATAATTTTCAAGACTATATGAATAAAGGATTTGTTAACTTTGAAAAGAAAAACTTGAAATTAAGTCTTATACCATAAGAAACTGATTAAAAATACAAAATTGTAAGCAGTTCTGCAGATGTGCATCTACTCATGGGCGTCGCGAGGGGGGGGGGGGGCAAGGGGGGCACTTGCCCCCCCCCTGGAAAACCAAAAAAAAAAAAAAAAAAAAGGAAGAAAAAAAAGAAAGAAAAAGAAAGAAAGAAAAAGAGGCGCGAAGACAAAGTGGTGTAAATTTAATGAGTTGGGGGGGGGGGGCAAAATGTCCCTGCCCCCCTCTAAAAATGATAAATCGAGAATGTGTTGAGAAATACAAGCATTTTTTGGCAAATTTTTTTTTACCCCCCTCTAGAAAAATTCCTGGCGACGCCCATGCATCTACTACATACGATATGCATGTCACTCATCATACTGTTTCGTAGGAGTATTGTCTGACACTGTGACAATTTCAAGTACATGTTTCCAATAAAACAACAATTGTTTTTGGCCAGACAAGAAGTCATGCCTATCTTTTGTTAGTTATGGGTGCAAGGAAATGAAATTAAAAGCAAGTTTTCAGAGAGTTAAATTCAATTGGCAAAATCTAAAGAAAGTAGTTTTTCTGTTAAAAGAAATTATGCAACTTTAAACTTTGTGAGGAGAAAACAATTTTAATTTCTTGAAGAAAACATATCACTCCAAATTTGCCTGACGCTTGTTTATATAGCAGTCATGTCACGTGATATGTCACATGACATCTCATCTTTACCAACCATCGTTTCCACAGCGTCCGATTGGTCCAATATATCACCGTCGTATCAGACCATCGCTGACTCATCAGGAGGGGAGATCTACCGGACAGACAAGGACGGCATCGGAGACTTAACCAAGATCATTGAGGGCGATCTTCGCGCCTCTCAGGTAACGGCTAAGTACTGCCCTCAACGTCGGCAAAGAGAAATTGAAGGACACTCGAGCGCGCCCTAGCTGCCGCCACACCCATTCATTTCTCTCGTGCTACGTGTGTACAGTTTGCGCTCATTTAGGCCTAATTGTGACAAAGCTGACATTATATAGCCATAATATGTTATTAGCCATTTTTAGCCTGGAGCCTTGCGCATCTTTTGATACCAGCTACGCGCTGGTTCCCGATCAGTCCATTCGAATGTAGGGAGCTAGGGAACCAGTTTCATCACTCCCATCGTTGAACTTGAATACTTATTAGTAAATTTGCATCTCGTCATCTAATTTTCTTTTTTGGTATTTTTCCAATGGTTGCCATTAACCCTAAAAGGGCCGGGGGGGGGGGGGGGGGGGGGGGGGGGGGGGGGGGGGGGGGGGGGAATCCGCCCCCCCCTCAACTTTTTCAGCGATAGCCTAGAAAGTTTGTTTTCATGACCAGAAATGTTATGACTTATTAGCCTCGAGCCTTGCGCATCTTTTGATACCAAAAACATAAATAAAATTTCCAGCGCTACGCGCCGTGAAAACGGAACTTTCCCATAATAATAATGTCGTGTATACACAGAGCACAATTACCATTCGTACATATGAATAATTAATTAGCCATAATTCAAAAATCCTTTGACCTATAGTCATGAAATTTCTTGGGTATGTTTATGATGAGTTGCTCTATGCACGTACTGAGTTTCAAAATTGTTCGTCACTCGATGGCCGAGATCGGGGGGGGGGGGGCGGAATTTGCCCCCCCCCCCCCCCCCCCCGGCTGAGAGATGGTCAAAATAACCCGGCCCTTTTGAGATTTTAGACCTAATGATTTGATCGACAACAAATAATGTGATGACGATTTGTCCAATTGAATTTGTAAAAAAAACAAAAAAAACCACAATTTTTTTCACATAACAGGTGACGATAATCCAGCGATCTTCCACGAACCATGAAGCCTTGGATGTGGAGATACCGGTGGATTCTACCACGCAAGAAATCCTGGTATCCGTGGTGGGATCCTTGACGACCGGCATGGTCAGCCTCACCAATCCAGATGGTATCTGTTACAAGATCACTTTTGTTTCTTGAACTATGTTGGATAAATAATTATATACTTGAGGTGGACTATACTTCCAATGCATCCCCCCCCCCAAAAAAAACCTGCCCCCAATACCTGTAATTTTTACCTGCATTCAATTCTGCATATACAGGGTGAGTAAAAAAGAAAGTAACCTGGATTAATAATTGTTTTTCTTAAAAAAGCAATCAAATTTGATACGCCAAAGAAGTATCTTAAACTCATCTGAACAAAACAGAATTACTGAAATTGATCCATGCTATCAGAATTACGCATGTTTTACTAAAAGAACCCATTTTTATAGCTGTCCATGGAATGCCATTAGAAGGTATTGAGCTGAGTGAGAATTACAGATTGCACACAGGCATTCAGATACACAGTGAGATTATTTTATTATTTTGAGTCAAGACTGAAACATTGTATCTATAGCCTACTGTCAGATTTTTTGTTTTGAATATGAGAAACAAGTCAACTCTTTTGTAACTGAAGTATTGATGGCGATTTTTGTCTGCTTTCCTTTGCAAGTTTTTGTTCATTCATGGAGGTGGGTATTATGCACAGGGAAGGCCCCGCATGAAAAAAAAAAACACTCCATGTTTCATTGTATTTAATGGGTATTTTTATAGAATGATAAATGTTCGGTTGTGGACAGCTGAATTTTGTGATCTTTTTAGTATTAAAGTAGACATAACTTAGGAATAGAGTATGAAAATTACTTGAACTTTTCACAGTTAATTTTCAATAACATGTACTTCATCCCTATGTCATATTCTGAAATAAAGCAAGCCCCATATTTATTCGGCCCCATATTTATTCTAATTCGGTCACTTTTCTTTTTGACTAATGCACCCTGTACTGCTGTCCGAGAGCAAGCGAAAAGACACCTTTATACAGGGGGACTTAAACCCACGACCTCCTGTTTCCCAGTCCACACTGCAGACAATTGACCCAGAATATGGATTCTTATTTAGTCTAGTAATTACACGGTCAAAATTGACACTTTTCTGGATCGAAAAGACGTGTTTCTATAGAGAAAAGTCCTTTCGATGAAAAAAGTGTCAATCATGCTGGCACTTTGACCGCAAAATGAAAAAATATTTGTCGTTTGTGGACAAACAAGCTGGCATTGGTCTGACTGGCTTGAATATAGGGGCCATTCGTAATAACTTGTGATGCCATCACTTCCGAAGTGTTGAAAAGTCGGTGTTTGTTTATATTCTTATGGTCTTACCCTTTTCAGGTATGAAAGGTAGCCCGAGCGAGCTAGGTGCGGACATCTTCACCAGCTCGGACGCGCAGATCGTGTTCAGCATCAACGTGACGGAGCCAAACACCAGAGGCACGTGGGTGCTGAACCTGCGAGAGCTGGACCTGACGACGGAGTACAAGGTCAAAGTGTCTGCCAACAGCTTCGTGGATTTCACCTTTGAGCTTCTAGAAACGGACCCAACTGATGGCGCTGCGTATCCCATAGACGGGAAACCAGTCGCAGGTAACCTAAAAAGATATTTTTAAATAGTTAAAAAATGATAACAACAGTAATAATAATAATAAATTGACATGTCAACCCTTTTGGTGCCATTTTTCTCACCCCCCAAACTTGTAGCTTGGATGGATCTTGTTCCCAGTAACTCAGCTATCCAACTACAAGTTTTTTTGGAATTTGTATTCATATTAAGACATTTATGCCTGACATTTTTTTAAATTAAATTCAACAATTATGCTTTGTACTGTATTGTAATTAAAAATTCCACACTTTTTCCTGTACACACTCAATGAAAGAAAACATTTAAAAGTTTTGGTGTCCTGCATTCGTTCGGATATTTGGCATTTGGCGAGAACGATATATGGATATACAGGGTGAGTAAAAACAAAATGAAGCCCAAATGTCGAGACCTTTTTTTTTAATGAAGTTCTGCACAAAGCACTCTCAAAATTTAGGATATGAAAGCCCAATTCATAAGCTTTCTGTCAGTACAAGAATCATTCAAATCACTCATGTACTTTTCAAGTTACGGAATTTTAAACACAACCACCATTTTGAGGTTCTGTCCACGAATCAATAAAAAGGTAAGTGCTCTTTCAACAAAACGAACACAATTCACACACATCCCTAAAAATTCAAAGCACATACATGTATTACCGACACATCACTGCTTTTCAAGCCGTTTTCGAAAACATTATTTCACAAATATTTTCAAAGTAAATTGTGGCTGCACACATTAGCAATGTCCCTGGTTGGGCAAAAGTTTGATGTTCCATTCTCAACAATTTTTTTTCCATGTCTGAAAAGGAGCCGAGGTCATTCTCATGGTCCAAGTCGCGTCGCCGGAAAGCGTGTCCTCCGTCAGCGAGATACGACTGTACAGCGCCACGGGAGAAACGACACTCCTGACGGCAGCCGCTGAGCCAGTCACCGGTAGAACGGAAGGGCTGTATATGGCCAGTCTTACCCTGCCTAATGAGGTCGGTCATCCGTATTTTTACATTCGCATTGCTCGACAGATTCTCAATAATTATGGAAGAGTGTTAGTTTTTCTTTTGAAGTTGCAGTTTTCTATAGTACGATCTCAAAATGAACAAATAGAATGGGCAGCCTATAAACAAAATGTATTTAAGTCAACGTAAAGTTCGTAAACATTTACGTATTTACCTGGACGTAATTTAAAGAAAAAAATATAATAATAAGTCCCCATGGACTTGTTAATAATATTGTTTCGGAATCATTTGATTTATTTTACCTCATCAGAAAACTATTTCTCTTTGATTGAAGTTATGTTTCTGATTAGCTTGAACATTTTGAGTTTTGGTGTTTCAACGCATTTCAATTTTGGTTTGTTTATTTGTTTGTTGGGGTGTTTTTTGTTTTCAGCCTTTTTTTGTCAGCATTGTCGGCCAGGACACGCAGGACATGACCTTTCTCCGCACCCAACCCTCGGAGATCACAGTCGTGGTATTTAAGCTGGAACAGGTCCCTGGCTCCAACACCCTAGGTCAGTACCTTATCGCAGTTAACTAATAATGAAGCAGTAATTGTGCAGGAACAGGTGACGTATCGGGCTCGGAAAATATTGCCAATTTGGTCACCACTTTGTGTGGTTTCTTCGTACATACAGGGTGAGTCACAAACAGCGGATCTCAAACCCCCCAAAAATGTATTTTCATATTTAAACAAAATATGTAGCGCCAAAAATAATAATGACTGGAACGCCAATTTCATAAGCTACTTTTAGATGAAAAAATTACTGAAATTGCTTAATCCGTCAAAACAATACCACCATTTAAACACAATGACCTTAAAACCTTGTCAAAAAAACACACAATTTATTGTGTGTTGACTGTTTGGAACAACAAAGAAAATGACACAGAATACTTGTTTCAACAACAGCTGTCACCAACTGTAGTACACAATATCTTTATTAACAACCCTGGTTAGGCAAACAATGATTTATAAAATCTATTTTTTTTTTAAGACGGCCCTTCAAAAGGACTATTGTGAATATTTTTAACGTTTAAACAGATTTTATGGCTGGTGATGTTTGAAGACAATTGTCGACGATTCTTGAAATCAATTTTTTTTTGGACGGGTTTTAGGGTCATTGTGTTTAAATGGTGATTTTTTTTGAACGGATAGCCCAATTTCAGTCATATTTTCATCTAAAAGTAGCTTTTGAAATCGACTTTCCAGTCAGTATAATTTTTGGTGCTACATATTTTTTTTAAAATATGAAATATATTTTTGGGGGTTTGGGTTCCACTTTTTTGGACTCACTCTGTACTTCTCTACCAGCGCGCTGAACTGGCTGGCTGTTCCGTTGGAGTGTCTGTTAGCGGGAGATATCAGCAATGTGCATCTCAACTGTAAAGTTGATAAAATGTATAGATGTTTGCAGGCCTGGTGAAATATTAAACCACACACAGAAGTTGTCATGTAATCTGCAACATATTCGGAGTAAGTAAGACAACTGCACTAGAAAGCAGGAGGTCGTGGGTTCGAGTCCCACCCGAGTGATTTTTTTCCAACTTTCACTTGGGAAGTAACACACTGAGTATACGTCGGTGAAGGGCAAAACCTAATTTGATAAACATATTCGGAGTCTAGGCGTATATGTCTGACGTGTACCTCCCATGTTCCTCGGCCTATGTCTGCCATTTTATAAAGGCCTCTAATTCATAAGGTAAAAGACAACAGCATATTTTTGTTAAGTCTTGGTTTACGATTTAATCCCTTTTTCAGGGGATCTTGTCCCTGGAGGTACTGGCAACTTTACCTTCCGTGTCACCAACAGTGGTCCTGACGACACTTACACTATCACCGTGTCGGTGCTGGACAGCACGTCTACCCGGGCACTAGCTGCCACGCCGGACCCGCTAGTCACCGCCAAGGTAGAACCGGCCAGCCTTGCGCTGGTGAAAGGAGAGACCGGGGAAGGGCAGTTGACAGTGACTGCTGTGGAGGATGCACCCTCTGGCACATCAGTGTAGGTTTTCTGTTATAGTGGTGTTAACCTCGTCCCCGTGGCGTTGAGCAGTACGCTACCACTGGTGCTCACGCGCTCGGTTATTGGATCATTGTATATCCAATAAACTTAGATATTTTTCAAAGCTCTGCTTTATTTTTAGCTCGGCTTCAGGGCATATAAGATTTGAGGATTAAAGACTTTGATTCTATGCAGATCCATATTTTGCTTCAGGAATATGAACATCAATTTCATAATATGATACAACAAGAGAGAACGTGAGATCGACATTAAAGGCTTCTGAACGATTCTGTTACCTTTCATGTTGCCAAGCACAGAAACAAATCCAAGGTTTTGAAAATAGCCAAGCCTTGGCGTGTTGGACCCTGATGGTGATCCAGCTCAATCAACAAAAAAAACCCCAAAAGAGCCTAGGAGAGCACCCTCTACTGTTTATGCATGGAGTCCACAGCCTAAATCTATTCTAAAAATGGACCTGAACCTACTTCTCCCTTGTGGTTCATTCTTTTTATGGCCTTCCGTCACTTAACCTTAGTGCCAGAAAACTAGGAAAGTTCCAAAAGTTATATACAATGCTACATGAAAATATGCATACTCAAAATGAAGAACTCGAACTGTTGGTATAACTGCGTTTTGTTTCCCTACAGTAAGGTGACGCTGTCTGTTGAGAGTACTTTGTCTTCTTCGCTCAATTTCCTGTCCGTTTACGCCACGGTCTTTGCAGTGCAGAATGACACGGAAGACGTAAGTATCGCCTTGCTGATAACGGCATAGGCCTACATACGTAAATTATCACTAGAACCCAATTTCAAATTTCAAGTTGCTAATAGTGTACAATTTTACTTTAGCAAATTATGGTGCTTAATGTAACGACGACTGAAAACCAGTCTTTTTGGCAGGTAACTTATTTCCGAAAACCAAATACAAAAAACACTAATTGCCTGGCCTACAAAACACAAGTCTAAACACTTTCTTGCTATCAATTTGTAAACATGTATATGCTAAACATAAGGTGATAGCAAGAAAGTGTTTAGAATTGTGTTTACTTGCTAAACACATTTTTTTTGTAGGCCAGGCAAATATCCACACAGAGGCTATTAGGCTACCTTTGTCCCAATGCCTAAAATTGAAAACTTGGTCCCATGGTCAATTTTAAAACTTACTCATAACTCTCTCAAAAATTATCAGATTTAGGTGTTTGATGGCTCATTTTGAAGTGGAAAGACGTATCTTACATATATTATCAATTGTGTAGGTTACGCATTCTACGTCTGGCATTCAGTTATATGTTGTTTGCATTTTTTTTGATACACACTATATTGCGTGTGTTCAGTATTTTGTAGTGCCATGAAATTGACTTTAATTGCCAGTTACATGTAGTCTATGGCAGTGGCGTCACCAGACTTTTCAGTCTGGGGGGGCACAGGGGGGGCACCAGCATTTGATGGGGGGGGGGCACTTAGGTGGATACGGATCGCCGTCCTGGGGGAGGGGTCTAAGGGGAGGGGGTGCCCCCCTCCCCTTTGGAAAATTTTTCGCATACGGAGGATGGGCTAGATGCAAAATGGTGCCACATTTGATGCTAAATTCGATCTGAAGATATCTCAAGAAATTGCTATTTTTGAGGTAATGATTTTAACAACGCGCAGAATTTTGCAGAGGATAGGGGGGCACCAGCATTTGATGGGGGGGCACTCGGGGGGGCACTAGGTTTTCCAGGGGGGGCACGTGCCCCCCTGCCCCCCCCCCCCCCCCCCCCCCCCCCCTTGGCGACGCCACTGGTCTATGGTATGCACAACAAGGGTCTATGATATGTGAGCAGATTCGGCGATTAATGATGCAAAACAAGTTTGCGTCTTTTTGACCTCGAGATTCTGACCAATCAGTGGGCGCCTTCTATATCGGGTCTTCCGTATAACCCATTGTTGTATTACTAAAACACAACAACAGGTTATACCAAAAAAACATGGCATCCAAATTGACCAATCAACAGTTTGTAAAGTCGACTCAAATCGGTTGGCGTGCGGGGTCGCATTATGCACGTTTCTGGATACTCATTCTACGGAGGTGCTATTAGGTATATCAGCTCCAGTAAATCAGTTTTGTGGAGCGATTCAGTAATTAGCTTTATAGGTCTGAAGCAGAGTTATGCATTAATTGAATAATTATTTGGAAAAACAATCAGCAAAACTGATCTTAACAAACTTTTAGGATAATGTGGACGCGAACGATCACACCGCTCCCAACTGCACCATCCTGAATTTTGCCGATGGCTGCACAGCCGACCAGATGAGCAACGACGCCTGCAAAGAGCACAGTTGGTGGGTGCGCGCCCGTGCCTTCGATGACGCCATCGTGACTGAGGTAGTGCTGGACCCAGAGATCGCAACTGGCGACGACAACAATGGAAAACAGTCCCTCGACTACGAGAAGTTTGCTTTGAACGACGTGACCTTCAAATACACGTAAGTTACAAGGGGAACTGGGGCTCCGTGCACAAGTACGCCCTCGACGGCGACAAAGAGGCAGATATGACACTTGAACGCCATTGCGCCGTGCTCTCTGCACAAAATGAAAATTACTTTAAAAAAAGAAGAAAAAAAGACCAGCTCGTGTGTTGGTGTTATATATTTTAACAGCAGACACGTTTTTTTCACCAATATTACCAAAGGGTAACTTATTTCTGGAGAACTTTGTAAGTTTCTAAAACCATTTCTCAAAATGTTACTTGGAGCAGTTCATAGGTTAGGCTTATACTAAGGGACAAAACAAATTCCCCCTGTCTATATATAGAATAGCCGCTTGCAAATTTGTTGAGGAACTGAATTGAGGGATCCGTTGAACAACAGATGATACTCAGACTATTTTCGCCTGTGCGCCTTCAAGTAAACCTTGAGTCGAGTTAGCCTGTTCTTTTCTCTATGGCAACCAATGCGTTTCACGCAGTCGCTCATAAGTTATACAAAAAGCTAGTTTTATTATCATTTATTTGAAACCAAGGATTCCTGAAAAGTTCTATAGGCACTGTAGCTCGCAAGCATGAAGAAACCTGCATGCACTGCAGCTCGCAAGCATTTTTAAAGGTGGGAGGAAAACCCGGAAGAATATTCTGGGAAAACCCACGGAATGAGGTAGGGACTGTAAATCCAATCCACATGTCGGCCCGGGCGGGAATCGAACCTGACTCCCGTATCAGTACAAGAATGGGTTTGTAGATGTTATAATCTGTACTAATTTATTCATTGATTTGCATATTCATTTGAAGTGCCAGTTGCTGTTGTCCAATGGTCTCTTTCACCGTTCATATCAATACAAAAATAGTCTGTACTAATTTATTCATTGGTTTGCATATTCATTTGAAGTGCCAGTTGCTGTTGTCCAATGGTCTCTTTCAACGTTCGTATCAATACAAGAATAATCTGTACTATTTTATTCATTGATTTGCATATTCATTTGAAGTGCTAGTTGCTGTTGTCCAATGGTCTCTTTCACCGTTCGTATCAATACAAGAATAATCTGTACTATTTTATTCATTGATTTGCATATTCATTTGAAGTGCTAGTTGCTGTTGTCCAGTGGTCTCTTTCACCGTTCATTTCAATACAAGAATAATCTGTACTAATTTATTCATTGATTTGCATATTCATTTGAAGTGCTAGTTGCTGTTGTCCAATGGTCTCTTTCACCGTTCGTGACGGAGCCGGCAACGAAGCGTCATGCGGGATGGACCACTACACAAGCCTTTCTGGGAAAATAGACAAACCCGTGTGTAACGGACCGGTAAGTCCAACATTCTACTGCAAGCAACTACAACTAAGGGTGGATCCTTAAGACAATTTTTTAAGGAGCCAAACAAATTATTTGTTTTTCTCGACGAAGTGGGTCCGAAAAAAATCCAAAATCTGAATGCTGCCGAGGTTTCTGAAACCTCTTACGTACATAAAGATATGCATACAAAGGTACTGGGGAAATTTACCTCAATAATGTCCTCCATGGTGATATCGGTAGGAACATGTTGTTTCTTGTCTTGGATCCCAAAGAGGAGGTTGTAAAAATTAGTGATTTTCGAAGACTTTATAATTTTGGAGAGATTAAATCCCCCAGACTTCCCCACATGCATTTGCCAGAATTGTCACCAAACCCAAGAAAGAAAGACTGATCCTTTAAAATTTTGAATCAAATTAGATTGTCAACATTCCTCTTTCTAGATAAGAGCAATGAGTTGAAAACATAATTGTATCGGATCTGTTCAAATACTGTTGCTTTTTTGTTGTTTTGACCAATACTTTGACTCTCTACAGATCCCCGTCGATACCGGCCTGAGCACCATTGCGATCGTCGGTATAGCCGCTGGTGCCACTGTGCTGGTCATCGTCGTTGTGGGTGCCGTAGTCTTCTTCGCATGCAAGTCCGCCAGTGGCGGGAAAGCGGGCAGGTCTGTCACGCCATTGATCGTCGAGTCGATTGAACCCGAGCCAGTTTCTTACAAGAACCCGGCGCCGAACAATTTTGAGAACGCAGGTTATTCCAAAGAGTAGCAAGGTCATTTTTATTGAGGGGGGGGGGGGGTGGTAAAAAGTTTGTGAAAAGGGCACTCGCACATCCGTGCTGAAATGTAGACAGGGTTTTTTCTTTGGACACTTGGCCTCCGTAAAATCAAAAGGGGGGGGGGGGTTAAAAAGGGCACTTGTTTACAAAAAAACTTGTTAAAATAAAAAGGACACTCTTTACTAATATTGGGGGGGGGGGGGGGGTAAAACGCTGGGGGGGGGGGGGAAAGGTCACTTGGATGGAAAAGGGTAGTCTTGACACAATATATTTGGGCTTGGGTAACTACCACCCTACCCCCTCCCCCTCCCCTCTCCCCACCCCTCTGCTGGCTACGCCTCAAGTATACTCCAAATCCACACAAGATGTGAGTGGAGAGAGTACTTGGATGCTTGTCTCCAAAACTGTTTCCAGTACATAAGGCCAAAAAAAAGTCTCTGGTTTCTGGTATGCGTACACGTCGCCGTAGCCATGCGCGTCGGCAAAATGAATTTTTTTTTTTCAAAAAATGAAATCAAAAACCACCAAACTCACTGGTTTGACTGGAATCCTGCTGCTGCACAATTTTAAGGTGTTCTTAGATGGGTTTATGATCGAGAATAAGCTTTATGTGGCCTCTCTGGACTCCCATATATTTGCACTAAGTTTAGTCGGGCACCATTTGCAGTCATCAGCCGACATTTGAAGCCAAAAAAAAACAGGTAAAAAAAAAAGCCGTGTCACCGCACCACTTTTTGGGCAAGCTCCATACCAGAAACCGGAGCCTTTTTTGGGGGGCCTAAGATTGATGTTCATCAATACTGTTGGGCTAGAACAAGTAAGATGCTCCCAATGCAAAATGTGGAACTTAAAAGTTTAGGCCTGGAACAGATCATGAGTCGATATTTGTATGTGCCGGGTCTCATATGAAGCTTATAACAGCGATTCTTCCACACCTAAAAACCATGGATATACCAATTTTAATCAATTAGGTGAAAACAACTTGAAACATACTAAGAATATTAAATTCCCAATGTTTGCAACAGAGTAGATGAAGTTTATAGATACGTGACGTTACGTTTTCGGCCAGAAATAGTAAAGCTGCTTTTCACCTCTTTATCAATTCAGCGGCCCCTAAAATACCAACCAAAAATCGCAACACTTTCGCGAAGTTTTCTCTTTAACTATTTGCACTCACTATTTATAGTTGCAGGGTTTTAACCTGAAGTTTTAAAACAGGGTCAGTCCAAATTTGCTGTCAACAGAAATATTATAAAAGAACCCCACGAACATTCACTCGAACATGGTGTCGTTAAAGGCACAAGGAATCATTTGCATTTGTCCCAAAAGTAACCTACCAAATTATTAATAAAAAGCTTACTTGGATTAAAGATTGTACTGGCACTAAACACCCATGAAATTATTCCGTCTGGGTTGCTGTCATTTAGAAGATATCAAGAAATGTAGGTGATTTCCAACGATCAGTCAGTTGACTGATTTTTGGAATAGACTAAAGAGTGTTGTTGACGAAATAATATTTCGTGAGGTTGTTCATGGTTTTCGCTGTTTTCTGGAAAAGTGATGAGCTGAAACTACACTGGATTAGGCTTACACTAAGTTTTAAACATTCTTGTTTGGATTTTGAGTGGTGGTATTATGGGAAGCGAACAAAATAAAGAAAAAGCAAATGATCCTATATGCTAAAGAGTGTCCAGTTCAAAATTTGATGTAAAAAAACCCCAAAGATTTGGTCAGTAACATTTTTGAAAAAGTTCCATGTGTTAAATCATGTGAACTATTTCCTAAATCACGGCTCAGGCAATAGTTCGCACAATTCAATAAACGGATTAAGAAAGTGAAAATTTCACTTATCTTTTTGCCAGTATTTTTCGAATGGCTCTTGTTTTATTTTCATAAATATAATTTTCTTTTTATTTCTTGCGTGCATAGTATATATAGCTGCTGTTAAGACAAAAACCACTTTTCTTGACACCATCAATTCAAATCGAGTTGCTTTTTTAAAAGTTTCATATACCATTTGTTTCTGGTATATATTTGGCATTATTAATTTTGCACAGCCTCGTTTGTTTCAAATGCAACTGTGAACACTCATGGGCATCGCGAGGGGGGGGGGGGGGGGCAAGGCAGGGGGTGGGAAGCTTGCCTTCCTCCTGGAAAATGAAAAAAAAAGAGGAAAAAGGAAAAAAGAGGTGCAAAGCCATATTGCTGTTTATTTGATGGGGGGAGGGCAAATGCTCCCCTGCTCACGCTCAGAAAAATAAATTGAGAATAAAATGAAAAAGTTTAGAAATTTTGGGGAAAAATTTGCTTTGCCCCCCCCCACGGAAAAAATCCTGGCGACGCCCATGTGAACACTTGATGTCTTATCAACCTCTAGTCACATTGTATGCTCATTTTATAAAATGAAGTAAATATCTGTACAAATTTTGAATGTTTATAAATTTTCTTTCAGATTAAAGTTTTTATTTTCGATAACTGCTATAATTTTGTTTAAAACACCGCTAGTTTGTTATGTATTTATCCAGAGTAACTCTTTACAGTTCTATTAATTATGATTAAGGTGAATATGTTATAAAGAAGAAACATATCAAATTATTGAATGAAAATATCTGTACAAATTTTGAATGTTTATAAATTTTCTTTCAGATTAAAGTTTTCATTTTCAATAACTGCTATAATTTTGTTTAAACATTGCTAGTTTGTTATGTATTTATCCAGAGTAACTCTTTACAGTTCTAATTATTATGATTAAGGTGAATATGTTATAAAGATGAAACATATCAAATTATTGAATGAGTTCAGTGTAAAATAGGAAAAGCTTATAATGGAATTATTTCAAATGCTCATCTGGAATTTATGAAATACGCATTTTGTCAACATAAGATTAATTAATACGTCTTCAATTTCATCAATTATACATCTGCTTTTTTTTGGTTAAAAATAATAGGTCATCTTAGGTGTCCATTTAAATAAGATGCACTTGTCACATTATTGAAGAAATTGCCTAGTCTAAGCTACTGATTATCACATTATTCAGCCAAAATGAAAAACAAGGGGTTAACCTTGCATTTTTAATTAAATGTGGTAACAAAAAATGTATTTGTCAGCAAGTGCCTTAGAAATGCCTCTAAATGTTAGATAAGCCCGATTTGTAGATGCGGGCAAAAAATAAAAGACTTAATTTTCACGAATTGTATTTTCCTTTGTTTGGCATATTAGTGTATCAAATTTTGAAGAAACGTGTATGAATGACTCATTGGTATTTTTACATCAAACAACTTTAAAGAATGAATAAACAACTCCTGAATGACACATATTTCTGAGGGAAATTGTAGGAATATGTTTTCGGTACCTTTGGGCATCTACCCTGCAAGTTTCAAGCAATTTCGGCAAAAATAGAAACCTGCTAAGGGTTCACAATTTTCAATAAAATTTCATTGAACGACGTGAAAACACCTTTTAAAGCATAATTTTTTTTAATTTAACTATTCACCCATAGTTTAGAAGACTGAAAACAATAAATGATATATTAGAAAAAAAACATCTTCGCCTCAGTGTTGACGGAACTTGACACAATGTGTCGAGGACGATTTAGCATCTTTCCTGGAAGTTTCCATCAATTCCATTTTGGAGCCAGAATTTAAAATCAAAATTTGCAAGAAGTAAACCCCTTTCTTAAAAAAAAAACCCTTTAGGCAATAAATGCACAGTTTAAAGGGAATATACATCATTTGCTTTTGCTGTAATTTTCAGAAATGGATGGAATTGGGGAGTTGGAAATATATAGCAAATATAGTTACACTGACTTTTTTGAGGTTTTGGGTTCGAAAATGCTATAAAAACCAAGAAAACAATCATTTTCCTGTAGTCTGGTTCCCTGACTCCATATAAGAAGAAACAGCAGTTTACATACATTGGGGAATTGTAAGGTCAGGGAACCAGTCTAGCTGGCTTGTACCCGTTCATAGGTGTGTAATTGATTGCAAACAAGTGCGATGGTCAATTGGGGCCAGTATTTGAAAAAAAGCCAGTTTTTTCCAGCGTTGGAAATTGATACAAATATACCACTTTTCTTGAAAATGACAGTATACCAGGTACCATGATTTTACAGGATGCTTTACACTGTCATTCACTAACAGTCCAGCAAGGTATTTCAAAATGATTTGGTAGTTTTATTTTTTGATGTTTGCAAATGTTGTATTTTCCCTTTAATATTCGTATGCTCATTATTTAGATTTGGTCAGGGACATTTTTGAAGAAGAAATTAGAATGATTTCTGAGAAAATAATGGACAACTTTTTTATTGTCGGTGTGATCACCTGCAGTGCCACACATTTATTGACAATTGAATCACATTGCCTAAATAAAGTTTCGGTTTGATTACTTTTCTAACTTATGTTATCCCATGATGGGCTTTTTTTCTCCCATTTTTTTTTCTTCCAAAGTTGGAGGAAAAATGACAAATTGCGTAGCTATGTCATAATTAACGTGGTCCAAAAAGTACACAGATGAGTGGGTTCTGGACACTTTAACTTTGAGAGACTAATGCAACTAAGAAGAATGGCACTGTTTAATTTCCAATTTTCTTTGTGATTGCTAAAACCACCCCCCTGTCTCACCCATGCTTTTAAATCCGGTGCAAGGGCGGATCCAGGACACAATTTTTTTGGGGGGGGGGGGGGGCCACAAATTTTTTTGGTCCCTCAAAAATGCTGTGTGGTGTGATCTGAGGCAATTTCTGACCACAATAACATGTTTTTTGAGGAAAAGATGGTGGTGTACTCATTGACTGCCTTTATTGCGACGCCACCCCAAAAAAAAAGAAAAAAAAAAAAGTTTCTTTTTGGGGGGGGGGGGGGGAATGCCCCCTTTGCCCCCCCCCCCCCCCCGGATCCGCCCTTGATCCAGTGTAACGTTAGCAATGTGGACTCTATGAAATATGGACTCATTGGTTGTATTATGCAAGTCAAAGTGAACATAATAAGAACAGTGGCACGTCACTGGTTCCGTTAGGGTCCCAAAACGTTAAGACTGGATTTCACTGGAGTCCAAATTACATACGACACCCGTACGTTTTTTTACATTCTTTTTAAAATCGCCTCCCCCTTATTAGTAAGGAAAGGAATTCAAGGAAGCGGACTATCTACTGTCGACTGTTCCTTCCTTTGAGGAGGGGGGGGGGGGCGACGGTATTCTTAAGAATATATTATGTTTTCAAATTTATATTACATGTATATTTACAATAAAAACTTATTTCCACTGCACACACATCACACAATTTATAAATACAATTTGAAGTTTGCTTTGAAATCATGATGTAAAAGCGACCGAGAGAAGTTGTATAGACTACATGGAATAAATTACATTTGATCATCATAGAGGAAAAAATACAGAGATGGTTCATCACCAAAACTAAGTAAATAAATAGCATCGTAGTACACAACGAGTACACTGGCCAATTCCATAAATAGTATCCAAAATTTTAAATTTACATGTTATTTTATAAAAGATACGTTCGATTGATTTCAATCTCTCCAGGTTCTAATTTGGTCTTTTAGGCCAATTGTCATGGCACTGCTAAGCACACACATCATTTTGAAAATACAATTGTTCATTTTTATGGAGAGCTGTAAGCACACAAGACAAACACAAACCCACAATTTGCGTAAAACATTAAAAAGTTTTCTTAAAAACAAATGCAGCTAGCACAGATTGTACGCAAAACACTGGCCGGTTTCATGAAATTGGGTCAAGTTAACTTCTGAACCTTCTTTTCAAAATCACACTCATAAAATTCACTTATGTATTTGTGACATTTATTTTGTCAGAAAAAAATACCCTTTTAATTAATATGATGAGAGGTTTGCGGTAACACCATATGACTGATATCGCTTTTAGTGAGTTCAGGGGTGTGAGTGACCACTGATAAAAATAGCTGAAAACAGCTGAAAAAAGGTGTAAAAAGCTGAACTTTGGAAATCTCCTATACTTTTGTACACAGCAAGTGAGGGGAAAAAAGCTGAAATCCAAAACAAAAAAGCTGCAATCAGCTTTTAAGCTGAGATTTCACACCACTGTGAGTTGTGTGGTTCTGAGAAGAACCAGTTGTTTTTACTCGAAGTTTCGAACAGTATGCTCCTCTGTTTGTCATCAGGGGACTGCCTGACTCTAGCTGGTGTAGTAGTTATAGTGGACAGAAGATTCTGGAACAGAGCATACTGTTCAAAACGTCGATAACACACTCACATTTGTATCCTTGTGGAGACAACACTTTGTTCTTGTGTACTAAAGTTTTCGAATTTGAAAATATAGTTTCAAAATGCTCTTCTTTTAACTAGAATTAATTTCCTTGGCTGAAACTTGGACTTAATATCCCTTTTCTAAAACTCTTCCATTTGCGACAGATCAGCATAGCTTGGAAATTCCTAGTTTTTGAGTAAAATCCATGTATCTGTTTCGTGAAAACCTTGTGGAGACGTATTCATCTATAGAAATAGCTCTGTGGAGACATATACAATATTTTGTTCCCTATTGTACATACGTCTCCACAAGGATACAAATGTCAGTACCACACAACTCACAGAGATATCATTCACATGGTGTTACCACAAACCTCCCATCCTATTGATCATACCCGCCATGCAAATCCTTAAGTCTTAAATACCCTTTTGTTCATAATTGTCACCTTGTGTACATTTAGAAACAACACAGAAAATAAAATTTTGAATACAATGTTTGAACTCTTGTTTCGCTTACAGAAATATGGAAACAAAAACAGTGACTGAAAACGTGAGGACAAACATCCACTTAAAATACAATAACACTCTCTAAAATAAAATCTCTCAAGGTTGAATGGTTTAGCACATATCAGAATACAGACATAACTTTACACAGCATTAGACACAATGCGGCAAGACCCAAAAACCAAAATAAATAAAAACCCAAATAAATACATTAACTAACAAAATATTGACACTGAGTGCACACACTAAAACTTCATTGATAAAATACCTGTACTGAATTGTGAAGAGTACGTACCCCAAAATATGGCCTGGACTTCTACAAGGAAAAGCAGGCTATAAAACGAACTTAAACAACCTTATTTAGCAGAGTCGTCGTGGGTCAAGCTCAAGTCAGTTACTTTATCAGGTCAAGTAACAGATTAATATTCATATGTGACCTTCAAACACGAACTGATCAGAAAGTCGGAACTTGCCATTTTGCAGTACAGTAGGGCAACGTCAAAATTTGAAGGACTGGTCGATTTTTTTGTTTTCAGGTGAACCTTAGTTTGTAAGTCCTGTGCTACCTTTCTCCAATGTTTTGTTCAGTCCAACATTTTAAAACCTTGTCATGTTTATTTAAGTTGACTGTTTATTCACTGTAACACAACTGCAGGATTATTACATGTCACTGTCTCAAGTTTTACAACTTCACATAAGTTGGTGGTCTATATTTCCATTATTGAACTCTGTACCCCTTAACGTTGTATACCATTGGATAGCTCTTGCTTTGCAGTTCCAAATAAATAAATATCTTAATTCTTGTAAATCTGATTTTAAGCTCATTTGGTGGTGACAGGTCACATGCACTTTTTCAAAGACATTCATTTGTTAATCCTACTTGTGGCTGACTTGTGATTGGCTTATGACGGACTCGATTACAAAACTGTTTAACAGTTCAGTATCATCTGAACATTCCATGCTAAAACGTAAATGAAACTGACACGCTTAACAAACAGCACACTGAGGATGGATTCTGATAGTGATGACAAAAAGAATTAATTTCAAACTTAAAAATGACTACGTCACACAATATAAATCTTCTTGGATTAAAAATATGCACAGCATTTGGTATGACATGTATGAACATATATATTATATATTACAGAAAACCAACCCTGTATTAGACATACTTTCGATCAAAGTTACAAACTACCATTGATCTATGGTCCCTAAAAAAGTGTCCGTCACAAAAACCAAAACAAAAGCAAGCAGTAAATTTTGAAAACTTTTAATGGGGCAGATACCCCTAATCCTGGGCCTCAACCCCTATGAGTTTCATTTACATGTACAGTCGACTCTCGTTAGTACAAACTCTGTTAATACAAAATTCTGGTTATAACAAACATAAGGCCTTGGTCCCAACTGTGCTTTATGTGCACAATGAGTGGGACTGATGTTCCTCTTAATACAAAATTCTGATATAACAAACAATTTGGCTAGGTCCAAACGAGTTGTATTTACGAGACTCGACTGTAATTTCCATCACGCCTCACTGCACAATTGTCAATTGATCACAACAACATTTTTGGACACTGTGACCAAGTTCCTTGCCTTAATAATTTTCAGTGCTGTGTTTTGCAAGCTCCATGTTGTGGGAAAAAAGGGCCGATGTGGTTAGGGATTGGCATCATGCCCTAGAGCATTAAACTGAGGTCTTGCCATGATGACTGACAGCCAGGCAAAAGATTCCAAACCCAACCGCAGTCCTTTTTCACAACATGAAGGATTATACTGCTGACATAACACAGCACTGAAATTGATTAAAGGCATAGTCCATCATTTGTAATTTGTGCACTTTGTTCGTTTGAAGCAACAAAAGTGCTCAAAATCTAAAGCAGGGTGCTGAACAACTAACCTGATGAAGTTTCAGCTCAGCTTCAGCTGTATATTTCGAGAAAAACAACATTCTAGGATCTCGATTTCAAATCAAAAGTTGCTGAATCATGTTTTAAATTGGGCCTGAATTCAGCGTCCGAGACACGTTCGCACTAGCCGATTGCAGCTACGTGATGTCGCGCACCGATCCGATGAATTATAGAACTGCGCGCGTGTGCGTCGTGCCAACGCTTGCGCGCGCTTCACCGAATAAAAAAAACGAACTACTAACGAAAATTTCCAACGGTGCTTCTTAAGACGCACCGTTGAAAAGGCCTTCTTTCGTTGATTTCTTCAAAAAGACAGCTTGATAGAAAGAATAATTTCACGGGAGTTTAGTCCCCTTACTATCTTTCAACCAAGTATGTTTTTCAACAATAATTACGCCATTTACTTTTTGAATAGCTGCAAATGATGGACTCGGGCTTTAGGGCAAGGAACTTGTTGTGATCAATTGACCACTGTTCAGCGAGGCGTGAGGAAAATTTAACGACACTCGCAGGGGTTTAGGCCAAGGGTTAGGAGTATCTGCACAATTGAAAAGTTTCTAAATTTACTTTGTTTATTTCAAAATATTTAGACGGACACTTTTTTGGGACACACTGTATAAACTGCGTTCATAAATATCCAGTTACGGATGCCCATATTTGAAAGACCATTCATGTCACTGTCACAACCTGAATGAAAGTGAACATAAGTTGAATCCAGCCGAACTTTAAACAGCATCCAGCATCCACCAGATTACAAGTCACAGAGCTTTGCCTTAAAACCTTCTTAAAGCTGTATCTCTAAACAGGGTCATGGGTTCGAATCCAGCTGCTGGTCATATGTCATACTGGAGCTGGACTATTTCTGTGTGTGTAGGTGCCTTGATCGGGTTTTCCGGATAAGTGCGCTATATAAATCTATATTATTATTATTATTATTATTGTGTCCTTGGGCAAGCCACTTCATCCCCACTTGCCTCTCTCCACCCAGGAGTATAAATGGGTACCGGCATTAGCTGGAGAGTAACCTGTGATGGACTGGCATCCCATCCAGGGGGAGTAGAAATATTCTCAGTCGTTTCATGCTACTGAAACCGGAGATAAACACTGGTCTGATGGGCCACATTGGCTCGTGATAGACTTACTTTTACTTTTACTAAACCTGCGTTTTACAGTTTAATATTGGTCAAAATCATTCCAGTACACTAAAAATGTTCTTTTAAAGATCATTGCTACACTAAACAGTCGACAAAGTGAATATTGTCTTTGTGCAAAAGTACATTTTTTTATTGTGTGACCCATACCAAAATAGACTGGTACCATCAATAAAGCACATTGCTTCATGCTCCTCAAGTGAAATCCTTGCAGGTACCAGACATTGAATGACTGCCGTGGTTGAGGAGACTTTGTTACATGACGGAGCAGACTGCGCTGGATTTCTGTGACATCATCATGTCTGACATGGCTGCCTTGGCTGAACGTCTCTTGTTGGCTGCAACATCAAACGGGAATGTGAAATACACTCTTAATCATGAATGGACGACACCAAAAAAATCATCTTTTCTTAAGATGTGAAAAGACAACTTTCGAAATTTGCCAAACATTTTAGGAAACAGAGAGAAAGCTGTCACAAAGCACACTCACTTTTTGACAGTTCAATGGTTCAATGGGCATATTTGAAGTGTATATAAATCATTGTCCCAGTTTGATACAGAATAGACCTTTATCATGCTGCCGCCATTTCAGTCACGTTCCCTGTATCTAATAACAGCACTGAATGATAATGTTTTTGTGCAAAAAAAGGAACCAGACTATTTTTCCTTCCAGCCTCGTTTTGGTTACATTGATTTGAATGGGAAAAAATCAAATGGCTGCAACATGATGATAGTCTATATGGAAATTTCTTTGAGATTCTGCAATCCTCTGGATTTAAATTTTGTGAGTGGGCTTTGGATGATTTCACTACTTTCACAATTGTTTTGATTTTCCAGTGGATTTTCCAATTGTTGTTGGGGGTGGGGGGTAGGATGGAAGTAGAATGAGCCCCACTCCATTCATCTTAAAGACGTTTCCCATGAGCCCTTGGACAGCTCTCAGTCCACGGTGCTTTTGAAATTACAACAGTAAAGGACAGTCACCAATATTCCAAGATATTGTTTGCTGTCAAACTTCAAGATGCACGTTTTCTTAATATTGAGCTAGTCCTTTTCTCAAGTAGGACCTACCTTCATTGAACACTTCTCGTGAAAACACGCCTCCGGATGTTAAGGAACTGTTAATAAAAATGTCACAAATAGTAAACAAATAACAAGCACATACAGGGAAAAAAGAGTGGATAAAAAAAATTGGAGCCCTGTAAAATGCACTCATTGGAATTAAAACTAAAATTTGACCACTGCCATCGTTCAATGCATTAAAACCTTCCTACTCATCAGCAAACCATTTTTGTGTGTGTCTTAGTGTTTTGGTGCTTACATGTTTAGCGACCATTGTCAAACTTCAAACTTGGCACAAACTTTGATGTGAGTGTGCGTTCAACCTGTGAAAACAACACCATTGAATCGCGTGCGTTGTTTGCAGCAGTTCTCCAAAACTCTGCAAGTATGCAACCTCATGATACCAGCGGCAAAGCAATTTGCACATTTTAGAAGGGCACTGCACTAGTGTTTAGAATTCAAAGACTAACTGAAAGTGGTTGACTGTTCACATCAATCTTAATAGTTTGAAGGTCTCCTCAACAATTTTCTTTGGGAAAAGGCCTGTTTCATGTTACTTACTCGTCCTTTCCGGGTCGTATCTTGACTTCAAACATTGCATAGACAGGTCGGTGGTCGGACACTTTGATGCTATTGCAGGCATTGTAAAGCACACTGTGGATTTGGGCCGACCGGCGACTCTTGAACAGCACACGATCCTGAGTATGAAACACAAACTGGATTGGTCAAAGACTTCTTAGATTGCAATTTTTTGTTTAGCCAATGGGCTATGTGTGGGAGGCTGCCCTCTTTTGGAGAGCTATAAACTTATAATAATATTTTGGGAAGCTAATCATCCTTACTTGCAGCTGAGAAGCTGATTTGTGAAGGACACGGCTACAACGTGGTCGAGCCGCTGGCATTTAAAGGTGCCTTTGACAGCCAGCCATACGACCCATGTATGACCACGGAGCACAGTCAGAAATCAGAAGTGTTTGATTTTTTTCGGAGGGAGGAAAACCAAAGAGCCCAGAGAAAAACCCTTGTGGCACAGGAGAGAATCAACGCACAACTCCACTCACGTATGGTCCTAGCCGACAACAAACCAGGGCCACAGTGTTGTGAGGCGAGCGCTTTAAACACTAGCCACCTATGTATCCCCCCCCCCCATGGTATTAAAGAAGAGTTGAGAAAGACCACCGGGAAGAACACTTGAATGCATTACCCACGCCGGCTGACACTCACATAGAGGTAGCTTTGGAGCAGTGCGCGTAATTTTTTTTCCTAGGAGGGTTAGGGGCAATGTCATGAATAATTCAGTTTTTCCTTTGAATCATTGCAAGACTTAGGTTCTCGTTCTATTTTCCCCTTAATTTAAAATTATCTCAGTGATAAATTTGGAGAAGAAAAATAGCTGATGAAAATGAGCAGCGACGACGTGGATTCGAACCAGGGATCTTTGTATCCATAGCTCATCTCGCTATCCACTAGGCTACTGTGTGGTAGCTCGATGACAACCGTTCTTTAAAATGCTTTAATGTATTATAACTAGTTGAGTAACTAACAACAATACTGTTGATGTCATTGTCCGTTCTCATGTATAAACATGAATTATTCATGACATTGCCCCTAACCCTCCTAGGAATAAAAATTACGCAAGCAGCGCATATTCAGAACAATGCTAGGTTTGCATACAAGTGCCATATTGGGGCAAACCTGTCCGCATTCATGAAGTACATTTCTGTTGTATGAATGACACCACAGACAGACTTGATGAAACGGGAAGGCAATCTGACGTCAGTGACTTACCGTGTATGATGGAACCCTGGCTTTGGATGAGGAGTCGTACACATCTCCGCCGATGTCGTATTTGTAGGTGGGTAGGAACTCAATCTCTTCCTCGTGGAAACCTATGAAAATACTCTCTGCAATCAAACAAATGCACAAGGAAATTATTGAAGTCTTCAAAGAAAACGTTTTATTCTGAGTGGAGCAAGTTTGCACAAGAACCATGGTTGGCCACAGTAAACCAGCGTTGGCCTGACTTAAATTGAACCTTGTCTTTTCAGTGACTAGTCCTGATTTCTATTTGGAACCGGTATACCAGGGGTGTCTGCGTAGCTTGTTATCGGTAGCTGTAAGTGATATAATGTACACTGGGGAAACAGGACAACAGTAATGTCTGACCACTAGTTTGAATTTGGTTGTAAATGTGCCAGACATGTCACTGGGCAACCACTGAGAAAGTTCAATACCGAGCAATGACTAACCACAGATGGGCCATCTCTCATCAAATGCACACTAGTCAATGACAATTCAGGACCATGGTGTCCTTGGGCAAGATGCTTTACAACCATTGACCATCTCCACTATGGAGTATAAATAGGTACCTGTTGCATCAGCACGCTCTTAATGGCCTTCGATGTGGCCTATGATTTGAGCACATTTCTCACTGTAACCGAGTTCAACCAAGCTACCATGGTTACCTGAGTAAAACTTGTAATCTAACATGTCAATGCGCACTACCTTTTTTCCTCTCTTACTTTTTTTCATGTTTTTCTTGAGTTGGTCGTATTTCAGCAAGATGCTGTAGTCCGCCTTTTTCCCGTCCCGTAGTTCCCCTGCCCAGTTCTCCACCTTGGCCCGGTTCTCTGTTAGACGGAAGTTGAAGTCTCCACACCAGAAGATGCAGTCAAAGCGACTGGTCACGTCAGCTGCAAAGGAAGAAAAACTCACAGGATTAAGTTTTAGTGAGCACAGATTACAAGCAAAACTCACAGCTCCTGGTTTAATAGCTGTCTCTGATAGAACAAAAAGAAGAGGAATGGAAAAAAAATCAGAACAAAAACAAAGGCTTTTCCGAAACTTTGTGGAAAAGCCAATAAAGAATGTCTTGACTTACTGTTGAGGTTATTGAACTTTCTGGTTGGAGGCACTTTGAAAGGTAGCTGCAAATCTTTGATGATCTTCTCATAGTCGGCGATGCGTTCCTTGATTTGCTCGTCACCAGCTTCAAGCGAATGAATAAATAAAATGTAATTTTCTCACCTCAATACAATTGAGTCAAGAAAATGACAATGCTTGTGGGGTGGGTAGTCGATAAGCTGCTGAAACATTTGAGATAGAAGTTTTGGATGATACACCTTTTAAGAAAAATAAAGGAGTTTGTTTTGAATCTTGGTAAAATCAACTTTAAAGAAACAAAACACCAAACATCCCCTTAAAGTTTGTGAAACTGTGTCCAAATTAGAGAGATTGTTAATATACTGTTTATGCGATAGTTATCCATGATATAAATTGTTAACCATAAAATATGCTATTTCCCAGGTCTGCATCGTGACTTTGGGCGTGATCCCTGGCTACATGGCAGACTGGCTTGTGACTTCTGACTAACACCCCTTGAACAAAGATATTGACTAGATTGGGGAACCGCCAACATAGGGCTGGATGCGAATTTTTTTTTTCCCAAACGTATTTTTTGCGCCCTCTACGATACTTTTTTGATACGCACGCAGGTATACAATTGTTTGTTTCCCCACAATTTGGTGAGCAGTGCGACAGCTCTGTCGATAGAAAGTAGGATTTTGCACCGCGGGGTTGCGGGTTCGAATCTCGGTTTTGCACTCCCGAATTTTTTTCCTTTTCTAACCTGAGGCGTTGGAGGATTTTTTTTAAAAGGGAAATAAAGTCCAAATTTTGTAACATTGAAATTCCCTTTTTTTCTAATTTTATATTTTCTTCTCATGTTTTTATAAAAGTTAAGTCCAAAAAACCATAGCGTACACCCATTTGTGGATGTTGTTTGGGAGAAAAAAAATCGCGGGCTGGATAGCTCAGTTGGTAGCGCACCGGAACGGTTATCTAGATGTCACAGGTTCAAATTCCGCTCTGAACTGAACATGGTTATACCTGTAAAGTGACAGTTGATGAAGAGGAAGGATGTCCCAAAGAATGTAAAACCAGCCGCTACTGCACCCTGCGAAGAAAGAAACACGGACAAGCTCAATTATTGACGCTCTGCATGAACGGTAGATGAGGCATTGTGACCACTTTCCAGGGCCATGGTAGGAGGAGCACATCGCGTGCATGTACTGGTTTGGGATGTATAGTGCTGAGTTTGCCTGACTAAATTTTGTACTGAATGAGAACAGACCCAAAGAGTCTTCGCCTGAGTGTCAGGCGCCGTCGGCAATGCGTTCGAATGTCCCTCCAAGTGGTCTCCCAAGTCTTACTTTATAACCAGTGAAGGGTACTTGTGCACTGCGTCCTTACAGGCAATGATTATGACTTGAACGACCAAAAGAGAAAACTTTTTGGAAACAAAGCTGAGCTTGGCAAGTGGAATTATTTTTACCTTTGTTTTGATCATTGAGAAGGCCCTGGTGGACACAGTGTCATCTTCAACAGCTGTGGAAGAAAGTGTCAAGTCAGTATTAATACAAGACCTGGATATGTCTTGTGTGATGGTATTCCGCATCAAGCTGATGCAAATTTGAACGGCATAGCCTATAGGATCATTTGCTGTTCATGCATTTTGTTCGTTTTCAATATTAGCTTCGCTCAAAATCCATTAAAGAATGTTCATAACCTTACCTGTTCAAGTTTCAGCACAGTGGATTATTACACTTTTCGAGAAAACAGGGAAAAGCCAGGCACAACCTTTTGATCACCGAACACAATTTCATAATTGTAACTCTTTTAAAAAAAAAAACCCAGTCAATTGACTGATTGTTGGAAAACACCTACATTTCTTGATTTCTTCTACACGACAGCAAGCCAGACGGACTAATTTCACAGGGTGTTTAGTATCAGTACGATCTATAATCCAAGTAAGCACTTTGATAATTGTCAGGTCACTTTAAAGATAAATGCAAATGATCCTAGGTGCCTTTAAATCAATGACAAGATGCATTAGGATTGTACTCGGACCTGAGCAGAACCAGATGAGATCTCTTCTGATGAAGATGGTAAGTCGGAGCACACCGTGGGTGGCTGAGTGGAGGAGGACATGAGATGGGCCCAGGGTCTCCTGAAGACGAATCTCCCACTCTTGCCTGTGCCATAAGAAGAAGGAAATCAGAACAACATGAAATTTACAGACGACCTATTTTTACTCACTTTGTTTTGCAGGTTTTTGGTACTAAAACCAAGGTTCTTGAGAGCACAAATGGGCCTCTAGCTTGGAAGTCTCTCAATGAAACCAGTGGAGGATTGATAATAGAAAAATTCTGAAGTTCTAATTTTTATTTTTTCATTTGTTATTATTTATTAGTGGGGGGTTCCAGACAGGGTCAGCAGAAATTATTTTTCTTCGTTTTTTTTATCGCTAAAAATGGGGTTAGTTGGAAACGAGAACCAAATAATAAAAATCTGAAGAAAAATAAAATTGTAGTTGCACCTGTTTAAAAAGCTTAATTGAATGATGCCAAGTGCGTATTGTTTTCGCTGTACTGGCTGCGAAGTCATACCAGTATAGGTAACCTATATGATGAGAGGCAACACCCTCGCATCTTCTGGAATTCCACTGGCTGCTACACCCCATAATTCGCTCAAAATTGTGGTATTATTTTCCAGGAAAAAATGTAGTATCCAGACGCCACTTCTTTAGCTGTGTACAGATGGAGAGTCAGGTGCATTTGCAAAGTATTCTCTGACAAAACTGGAAATGTTTCTCAGTCCCAGATTCATGTCTTTTCAACATTTTTGCAATGATTGATCTCATTGAGATAATAATAAGATGAAAAAAAATAGCATCAGGATGCAACATTTTTTCCATGTTCCATAGTAAATTTAAGGATTCAAAATGAAACTTTTTTCAATTTTTTTACAGTGTGAAAACAGAAGATTTTTGCTTAGCAGACATCAATTAAATATAATCACTATGCACAAAATACTGCTAAGCACAGAAAAATGATGCTTAATCATACTGCTCATGAAATGTTTTTCAGTTGATTCGCTTAGCTCTGAAAATTTGGCGAACGACATTTTAAAATTGTTGTTTACTGATGATATCTGCTGTTGTGTACTTCATGAATAGGGTGTCCCGAAAAAACGGATTGTAAAAAGAGGGCCTGCATTATTTATTTTTGTTGGCTATAATTTGACTTCCAGGCAAAATTAGATTAAGCCAATTTAAGCATCTTTGGATGTGATAAATGAAGAAATTGTAAAAAAAAAAAAATTAAAAAAATACTAGATTTAGGTTAAAATGTGGGCTCTTGGCCATTATGTGTATCCATGTACAAAATATTGCAGATGTTGAGATGACCACAAAAAAGCTGTACAAAAATAATTTAATTTCATTACTTTAAGACTGACATTCTGTATAATAGAAAACTGTATTCCAGCAATAAACTTTAAAAAAAATATGGATTCTCTTTCAAATTGAATTTAAAAGCTGTCAATATTTCCTTATCTTTCCATCTGTACCAGTAAGCTGACAAAGCATCCTATTTTTAGAAACAAAAGAAACAAAGAATCCTATTTTTAGAGACAAATTTCACTGAAGCATTTTGAACAATATTCAACAAGTAGTGTTGTAAGTTATTTGTTGATGACACTCAACACAATAATTTGTTCTCGAATGGTACTCCATAGGAATATTATTACAACATGTACATATAGAAACAAGAATTCATGAGAAAAGGCCGTAAACTATGGGAAAAAGTTGGCAATGTATACTGCCGTCCTGAAATCACGTGATATCACCAGGTGCAAGATTACGGGCTCCGTGCGCCGACGAAAGAGGGCGCCCTTTTACCTAGCAACGACGTCTCATGGGTGGGACATTTCGCTGGTTGACGCACACTGTTCCTTGTGTGTGACGCACGTACACCAGGGGATTTGAAAATGTACACGCAGTGGCCGCGCTTCGCAACAAATGAATTGCAGTCAGGCAAGATGGCGTCGGTTGGTCACTCCCAACTGTACTCTCTTTGCCGGTGTGGGGGTACTTGTGAACGGAGCAGATACTCCCACAGGACTGTACTGTCCTGTAACCCATGGGCAAGGGCACCATACACTTCTCAAAAGTAAAGGGGGAGGGGGGGGGGGGGGGGAAGACATATCGGGTACCTTGATCAGAACTAATGCAAGCACGAAGTGCAAACCCCTAACAGCGTAAAGGCCCCAGAAAATGTTGGATTCGAGACGCTCTGTGGTGCGATCTGAGGCAATTTCTGACCACTTTAAAAAAAAATTTTTTAGCAAAAGATCAACATTTAAACATCATTTTCTAGTTTGGAGTCATTGAATCAGCCAGTCTGAGCTTTAGGCCAAAAAAAAAAAGTCTCCGGTTTCTGGTATGGAGCTTGCCCAAAAAGTGGTGCGGCGACGCGGCTTTTTTTATTTACCTGATTTTTTTGCTTCAAATGTCGGCTGATGACTGCAAATGGTGCCCGACTAAACTTAGTGCAAATATATGGGAGTCCAGAGAGGCCACATAAAGCTTATTCTCGACCATAACCCAATCTAAAAACATGTTAAAATTGTGCAGCAGCAGGATTCCAGTCAAACCAGTGAGTTTGGCGGTTTTGAGACATCATCTTTCATTGAAAAAAAAACCTTTTTCATTTTGCCAACGCGCATGGCTACGGCGACGCGCGCGCATACCGGAGACTTTTTTTTTTGGCCTTAGAATCACATTTTGGCTACAAACATGGGGGGGGGGGGGGGAGCCAAAGATATGATGTCCTCCCATCTTTAAAAGTAGGTGGGATATGTCCCCCCCCCCCCAATTGACGCCAATGCCCACGGGTCATACTCTTGCGGTTCGTGTGCTCAGGACCATACTCATGTTTACTCGAGTGACTCGATCTAATGCAGCCTCTGAATTGTGTATAGACAAACCACTTCATTCACAAATAGAATTTCAAGGACTTTTAAATGACACGCACGTCATATCCACAAGCACATACAAAAACCTCTTTATCTTAATTATTCCATTCTCCCCTATTAAGCATTCAAACGATAAATATTAGAGATCACAACAGCTGCCCACACCAACATTGCTAGGCAACAGTTGCTTGGCAACACACTTTGCCATTGTGAGTGTTAAAAATATATGGCTGGTTGGTTTATTTATTTAAAACATTTTTCATCGAATGAAGAACGCCGTTCAAAAATGGTACTTCAAGACTGCATTTCAATTAAATATTTTTCAATAAATCATTTTGATGATAATGACCCATAGACAATTTATATTTATAACAAAACAAGTTTCTCATAATGAGTTTTCAATTTGTATGTTTTTTTAAACAGAAAACCTACTCTTCTCTATTTTTGGACATTTTCAACCCTCTTATTCAGTTGAAAATGAGCCATTTGAAATTGCGAAACATAAGCAAAAGGTGCCGTGGTCCAATCGTTATGGTATTCCACTCATGTGTGATGGTACATGGGTTCAAAACCCGACGGGAAAAAAAAACAGTGCTTGTGTTCTTGGGCAAGACACTTTACTAAAATTGCTTTTCTCCACCATTGCGCTGATCTCAAGCTGCACTGCACAAACTGGTCTCAAGGCCTGACGAACGGGGGTAATAATTCTGAATTTTTTGGGGGACTTTGGTATAAAGTGTTACATAAGCACCAAGTGCTCAACTTTGATGTAAACTAGAGCGTTCATAGTGCCTTCTAAATGACATGTATAGTTTCTTCATGACACTGATAGACAACTTTCAAATACGCGAACAGCCGAACGCCCCGGTACTTCCCAATGTGGTGAGGATTGAAAAAATATCCCTAAGGACCTAGGTGTATGGGCTCCGTGCGCCAACGAAAGAGGGCGCCCTTTTATCTAGCAACAACGTCCCATGGGTGGGACATTTAGCTGGTTGACGCGCACCATTCCTTGTGTGTGACGCACGTACACCAGGGGATTTGTTCTATGTACAGGCAGTGGTACCGCTGCGAGTCACGGCAAAATTGGAGTCAGGCAAGATGGCGTCGGTCGGTCACCCCCAACTGTACTTTCATTGCTGTTGAGGGAGTACTTGTGAACGGAGCGGATACAGTCGACTCCCATTAATACAAACTCAACTGGACCTAGCCAGAATGTTTGTTATATCAGAATTTTGTATTAAGAGGACCGATGGTCACATTAATTGAGCACATAAATTCAGTCGGGACCAAAGCTTTTTGTTTGTTATAACCAGAATTTGTATTAACAGTGTTTGTATTAACGAGAGTCGACTGCAATTCTCACAAGTTCCTAGACAGCACCGACTATTCATTTTGCATTGCGAAGGCAAATCAAGCTTTCAAAAAAAAAGAAGAAAGAATTTGAAAGTAAACAAAAAAGAAGGTTTATTCTACTGAGTTCGCATCTTACCCATCTGATGTTGATTCTTGTGTTCCGATGACATAGAGATCCTGAACCAAGACGCAATCTTCTGGAAGCAATAACTCCTCAAGATTATCCGGTAATACCTGACCAAGACCCAAAAAGTACACATGGAATGAATTTTTATAAACTGTTTTAACTAACATTTGGAAATAACTAAGTTATTTTTATCAAATTAAAATAGTGAATTTTTAATTAATATTTTAAGTCAATTTAATTTTATAATTTCATATTGGTTATTTTTTGACATGCAACAATCATTTGTGTCATCCATGCGGAAATTTAAATTTACTTCAATTTTGAATAAATGCATTTTTTTGAGTCGATATTTTCAATACTTTAAAACAGGCAGATTATTCAACATACATCAAGTTTGCAGATCTTTGCCAAAATATAAATAAAAATTTGAAGATACTCTATTTGTGTTCTTCGACATATTCAATTTTTTTCTCCTAATGCATTTTTAAAAAAACCTATTCTTTTCTGTTTTAAACATTTTCAACCCTCTGATAATAGGCTTTTATTACGGATGCTTTTGCACCAATAAGGCACAAAAAGATACATCGCAAATAATTAGAAATTGGTAAACTAACATTCCATCACCAAATGTGGGCGGACTATTTTGCTCGATGTCTCATTCAAAAGTTAATAATTTGGTATTACTAACAAAACAAAAATTTAAAACAAAATCTTTATTTTTTTCAGGCTGAAACTTAAAATAGCACGTGGAGAATATATGTAAACCTCAGAATGCCCTGTGCGTGATGCTGCTCATTGGATATTCTTGGGACTACATAAAAAACAAGGGTATTATATAAAAATGCAATTTCAGCTTGAATGACTTTACATCGGAGAGACGCTTTCTGTAAGTCATTTCCTGTCAACGCATCAGAGGACAAAGCATGAACAAGCATCGGGAGAAAACCCCTCAGCAGCAGTAATGAGGATCGTTCATCAGCAATCACTGCATGAAAAGATCCCTCTCTATCTAATAATGCATTATAATGACTATTGCTTTCCATATGATGTACATTTAACTACTGGTGCAGACCAGTAAATAAATTCCCACAGACATCGATGAAAAATACCCACTTCAAAAATTCAGGAAAAATACTCTGAAGTCTCACAGTTGATGAAGACATACATCAAATTAAAGCTCCATTCATCCTTTTTTTAGTTTTTGTTCAATTTTTGGGAGGTTAATGGATGAATTTTGGGTGATTTTTCCCTCCAAAGATGATCATCCTTAAATGTAGAGCTGAAACCCATCGCCATTTTGAAAAATGATGTCTCCACTCCATTGTAAAAGGGAGCTGTCAGATCCAGGTTTCTCCCAAATTTCTCAGAAATACAAATCCAAAGACCGGCTCAAAGCTGGGACCCTTCATTTCTAGGGTAATGGACATTGCATCTGCAAACCCTCACTAATTAAACTGCCAAAATATTACTTCGTTAATAGCCTACTTCGCTAAAGTAAATAATAGAATGAAGCATCCTGTGAAATCGTTGAGCCTAGCATGCTGTCATTCTCACAAGAAGAGTTTTGTATCGGTACTTGGTTAGGACCTAATCATCACTGAGAACAAAGGTTTTTCTCAAATACTTCATCTGTTAACGGCCGCGAGGCAGCTGTTGACTTCGTACATATGCTCGGGTACAGTAGGTATGTATGTACATGTACCGCTAATTAGTTTCCCACAACCGATCCGGCACTCAGTCACTCCCTGTGACCTATGGGTTCTATGCATGACCAATTCCATGAGCTGCAATTTGACGGTTGAAAACGAACATTGTTTTCTCATGTTTTTCCAGCAACGACGGACACAAAAAAATTGAACAGCTTAGTGTAACGATGTCTGCTATAAATTAACAGCCCATTTCATGAAATTATGACAAATGGTGTCTAGTTATAGCTTTTATAGAGAAACTAAATGATGATTTGGCCGGCACAGGCAATTTTGGGCCTAGTTTACTGGTCTGCACTCAATGGATCTTATATGCAGACCGTCACATAAGCAAGCTGTACATTATACAGTACCACATGTACATTTGTACATCTGAAGACATTGAGAAATTGCCAATTTGATCACGCTGTTATTATGATTACTTCTTACATATCTCGCAAGTTTCTCCGAGAAATCTTTCCAAATTCAATTTGCATTGATTCAGTTTTACAACGTGTACTTTTTCTAGAAAAATTTAAAATTTAACATTTGAAGGCTGTTATGACATATACTACTGTTGAGATATTTGGTTGGGTAAAAAATGTTGTTTGGAGAATTCCAAAGAAATTACAGGCCTACATGTATTAACTGACTTTCGTTTCAAATTCTGATAATTTGTTTCTGGCCTTAGAGAATTCTTCTGTGTATTAACATGGTAGGAAATTCATGACATTTTGGAAGAAGGTTCTACTTTGGTAATAACTGAATGCTTACAATAAAATAATGTTATGTAAATAATATGCAACATTTGTGCAGACTTCACCTTTAAACATGTTCCCACTCAACCCAGCAAATACAGATATATGTTAGTTCGTGTATGTTCTTGAACGTCAATTATAACTTAGATTTTGTGAAAGATAAACATCTCGTCAATGTGGAATGTCAATCTAGAAAATTAATGATTGATTGCGAGAAAAGTGTTCGCAGAACCGTTGTTGCCTTGGCAATGTCTTGTTAACATTTGAGAAAACAAACCAAGACCTATAAAACGCAGAGTTTACAAGAAATTGTTCGCATTATAAACAATGGTAGCCTCGTACTTATAAGGTTCTTGCACTATGCTACTGTTCACATGGCAAAAATGTTCTAAACATCCTGGTATGTAAGCAAAATGTATGGGAACAAAAGAAAAAGGCAGATACTTTGGGGGAAACTATCTACTATTCCGTGCTAAATTGAAGGAAAATGTAATTAATGACAGTTTCATGCACTTATTTCTTGCTTAGGACCATAATACAAAAATGCTGTGTTTTGTGAAAAATACCCCAAATACAAGCCTGGGATGTTAGCATGAAATCAAGTACATTATGTATGTCTATTTGTCCAGTTGTCCTCCGTATACATACGTGTTGTGTAAATATCCTTTTTTGGGGGGCAATAACCAGAAACACAACATTATTTTGTTAGCTTTATCCTCTAGGCCTAAGATGCTTAATTAGGTCCCAACATTTTATGAGATCAACTGTAATTTCACTGCGACATTTGCAGTTACCACACCAAAATAAATGGTTGTCAGTATTGCGATTTTTACAAATGTTACCTTTCCTTCACACATGTTCCAAGTGGCGATGAAGATCTTGACCTTCCGATCGGGGAAAAATCGCTCCAGCTCTTCTTTGCTGAGTAATGATCCTGACGTACTCGCCCCGCCAGTTAGGTAGGTCCTGTACGACAGAGCATAATCGATTAATTGATCACTTATCGAAGGAAATTGATCAGTAGTGAGGATGACGCATGAAGACACAATGTGAATCACTTGGTGATCGATACTCAATCATTTTCAGTCTCATGGGGGGGGGGGGGGGAATAATTGATAGGCGCATAAGTCAGTCAGTCATTTAGTCCAGTTGGGTATAAAGGTAAAGGGACAACTATTAAAATTATTAAAACGGGACTTTTCAAGGGACATCTTACGAGAAGTTGTGAATGGCAAAAAGCAAAATCTCCACATGTTCTTACTTGTTTCTGGCAGTTCTTGTGGTAATCGTGGACAGTGCTCCAGTGGACATGAAGGAACGGCTAGTGTCTGAGAGATGCGAGCAGCTCGCAGTTCCTAAGATCGGCTCCGACATGGCTACAGAATTGTCAATGTCGTCGGGTTTGAATGAGGCAAAGTCTGCAGAGGAGACAGGAAGCGAGGGCGGGGCCTCGCCAATAAGGGGGGAGGGGCGATCACTCCTGGGGATCTCTGCATATTCAGTATGGGCACCGGACTCTATACTGGTGTGATTCACAGTTGGTTGGATAACAGTCTGTTCCCCACTCTCATCGTCGATATCACCACCTTCTCTGAGAGTTGAGTCAGTTCGGACGGACTCAGAGGGCGCCCTCAATGTTTCGTCCTCGCTCAAATTGTTCAGCTCTGCCGCCAATTCTTCAGGAGTCACACGCTTCATTACTGACTCCTCCCCTTGATTTTGGGTAGCGGTGATCGTTTCCTCAATTCCTCCGTTGGCCTTGTCTGCAAAAGTACTCACAATAAGATCCTCTTCATCGTCAGTATTTTGCGACGAGGTTTCCTGTTTCAACTCAGTTTTCGAAGGTGTGGAGGTCTTTACAGGAAGCAGGAAATCGGAACTACTTCGGAGAGAAGTCCGACTACCTTTGATGTTGTCTACAGGGTCACTTTCCCCATCTCCTGAACTTCGCCTTATTGACTCGTTCATGATGTTTTCTGTTGTCACCAGACTGGTTTTCGTAGGGCTATTATCCGGAACGACTATTAAATCTTCAGCATCTGAATCCTCATCAAAGTTCACAGCATCATCGAGTGTGGAAGCTTCTTCCAACACTGCTTCGGATGTCGCATTTGATTTTGTCAAGTTTTCCAAATGTGCCGGGCCACTTTGGACTATTTCAGACGACTGGGGCAGTATTGCTTCTTCTGTCGCAACTGCCACTGGGACAATATTTTCCTCAACAGGTTTCTTGTCCGATTGCAGTGATTCAGGCAAGTCTTCAACAGTGTTTTCATTGAGTGTTGTCTTAGTAATTTCAAGAGGGGGCAGCATCGAAACACGGTCCAGACTTGATGAAACTGGTTTGAAAATGCCATTACTGAGCTGGGCCTCTTTCGTCTTCTGCTCGTCTTGAACAGTAGACCATTCTTCTGAAAACACAGAACGTTTTTCCGTCCGTTCCTTAGGTTTTGCTGCAATATCACTCGAGTCCGTTCCCAGATTTGCAAATCGGCGGGGCTTGACTCGGGGAGAGGGTTTAGGTTCGATACTCAATAAACTATTGCTGTTTGTGTCTTTTTTCATATCTGTGAAGTCTGTACTTGTGCCATTTTTCACGGTGATGGGTTCCACCTCTCCGTCAAGCGGGGTGACCCTTGTCGGTCTTGCAAGCGGCAGTGGACCGATCAAACTGTCTAGCTCACTAGTGTTACGTCTTGCACTACCACTGTCCAGTTTGTCCTCTGAGCTATCGAGAGTGCCATCTAGTGGCCTGATGCGGCGAGGCTTGATGCGGGGAGAAGGTGACGGTTTCAACTTAAGCGAGTCCCTCGCTCTAGACGAAAATGATGAGATTTCTTCCCTTCCGTCTTGAATTCTGCTGTCGGCACTCTCTTTGGTTTCATGCACGCTTTCCGACACGTCTGTAATATTTCCATTGATGTGTTTATCCAGCTGGTTCCCTGCTAAATCCTTGATGTCACTGATGGGTGAGGAGGACGCCAGTCCATCTACCTTCCCTTGAAGAATGGCAGATCCTGGCTTTTTAAGTTTCCTACATTGTAATTCAGAAAATACAAATAAAAAATTACAAAAACATTCAAGAAAAGATTGACTCCTATACAGTGTAAAAACTGTTAAAACCATTTTCTTTCTTAAGACCACTGAAAATGTTGAAAATAGTAGTTCCATACTACATGTAGGTTGGGTGCAGTATTCAAATACGATCTCCTACAAATATTTTAATAATTCCCCAATTATAAGGAAGTGTTTTTCTCTGAAATGACAGCATGGCAGATGTGATTTTAGAGTAAAATTTCATTAAACCAAGTGAACTGTTGACAACTTTTTGGTCCTTTTTGAACTTAAAGAGGTCCAATTGTACACAGAATGATCAAATTACACAATAAGTGGATCTGCACTTAGTGCTCGATCATGCAGAAATGCGTTAACGTGATTGGTCGATTCCGTTACGATACTGGTCGAGAGTGTCGCCATTGGTCAATCGTGCTGCCGTCAGTCGATCCCCTTTTCTTTCTTATAAACGACACCAGAGGATTGTTTTAAAAAAGGAAACAAAGTCTAAAATTTCGTACAGGATTGACCAATCACGCCATCGCGTTTCTGCGCGATCCAGTAGTAACGCAAATACACTGATTGCGCCCAACATCCGCATACCTCAAGCGAGAGAGTGTGTTGGCTTTCTTCTTGCGTGATGGATTGCCGGATAAGACATCATCCGTAGAACTTAACGAGCTGGTGGACCTTGCAGACAGCATGTTATCTGGATCCAGACTGGAGATGGAGTCTAAACCAACCAAACTGTCCATGGCCATTTCTGAAAGCAAAATGGTGGATAAGAACAAATACTTAATAGTAATAATAAATAATATAGGTTAGCGCGAACATCGGGAATTTTTTTAACATTGGCTTATCTAGCTCCCAGACCTATGTTCTTGAAACTCACTGGTTCTTGAGCCTGGAGTGCTGAATGGTAACATATCAATACTACTACTAGTCCTATTTACAATATTTACAAACAATAAACGGATGAAAACAACTGGAGACAAGGTGCTGGTGAATGGTAATGTATGTATGTTGTTGATTTATGATAAATAAATGTATGTATGTTGTTGATTTATGATAAATGTTGGTTTGAATTCAATTTATATCTAGTTATAATAATGGAATTATAACATTAATTTTGTGTATTAATGAACAACGTTGAATAAATGTCTAGCAAATTGAATTGAATTGAAATGTTGTGTGCGATCGGTTGATGTACACAATCGGTCGACCATGACGCTATTGGTCAATCGTGACGCTATAGTGTCGTTTGATTGCGCTGCCACCATGTCCATGATGCCAAACATCTTTTCTTTGGGTGTGGGTATTTTGCGGAACTTGCAGAACGTGCAGAACTCTGCGGAACTCTGCAAAATTGTTAATAAAACACTAAATTAAGATGAAATACTGGCTTTAAAAGTACAACAAGCGACAAATCTCATTATTAAGTCCCAAAATCGTCACATTCTACCCTTAAATAAATTGAAAATAAAAGATTTCCCACCTGTTTGTGCCGTCGTATAATAATTGTGTGTAGTATTTGCAGAACAGTGCAGAACACATGCTGTACAGGGATACATGCCGTTTACAAACCAAGGGTGCAGCTTTGACCCAGTGCTCTGTGAAGCACGTGTTTTAAACAGTTGATAGGGTACGGTGGCCCACAACTGTCACGGCAAAAGCAAAAGCGCCACGGCAAGCGCAAAAGCGCCGCGGCAAGCGTAACAGCGCCGCGGCAAGCGCAACAGCGCCACGGCAAGCGCAAAAGCGCCACGGCAAAAGAAAAAGCGCCACGGCAAAACAAAAAGCGCCGCGGCAAAAGAAAAAGCGCCACGGCAAAACAAAAAGCGCCACGGCAAAAGAAAAAGCGCCACGGCAAAACAAAAAGCGCCGCGGCAAGCGCAAAAGCGCCGCGGCAAGCGCAAAAGCGCCACGGCAAGCGCAAAAGCGCCACGGCGAAAGCAAAAGCGCCACGGCGAAGGCAAAAGTGCCACGGGTTTATTGGGAAGGGGCGTAATCATACATGCCGCTACTACATCAAAAAATAAAATGGGAAGGAGAATGGCCGCCACCAGGAATTCTTATTAAGCACAGAATTTAATTCTTTGAGAAGTGATTTTATGGCTGAGAAAATAGCAAGGCCAAGGAAAACCGGTCAGGAAATAAATCGTCGATATTAATTTGTTGTAGGATAATTATTATTCCAAGAGAGTTGCTGCCGTGAATCAGAGTTTATCAAGGAGTGGGACTCGCTATCAGCACCATCAGGGCCGTTCCTCATTTCTTTACATTTCGTGGGATGCAAACAATTACAAGGACGGGAGGCTCTGTGAGCTGATGCATTTTTGAAAACATTTTTTTCCCCTTCCGACTAGCATGCAGAGAAGAGTTCCGTTAATTTGAGCCTTTTTTCACAGGTGTGTATACCAGTGTAGGCACGAAAGTGAGCTGCCCAGAGTGTATGAGTTATTTTTTTTTCTTTTTCAGTAGATCATACACATCTATAGGAAGTCGATTAAGGCTCTCCTGCAGGGCTGCGATGATGTGGAAGACTGTCCACAGGGCAACTCATCATCGCTATCGCTAAGCATCATGAGGTCTTGTTCGGCTTGTTGGTTTCTTGAGCCGGGGGTGGGTGGGCCAATGAGTTCTAGGTTCTGAGTTAATTTCTTTCTTTCTTATTCTATATCCAAACTCTGGGCAGCTCAATTGTGTGCCTACACTGGTATACACACCGGTGAACTCATGGGCGTCGCCAGAATTTTTTCTAAAGGGGGCAAAACATATTTTTCCCAAAAAAATCTTGTATTTCTGAACAAATTCTCGATTTCTCAGTTTTAGACGGGGGCAGGGACATTTTGCCCCCCCCCCCCAACTCATTCAATTTACACCACTATGACTTCGCGCCTCTTTTTCTTTTCTTTTTTTCTCTCAGTTTTTTCCCCTTCCTTTTTTGTGTGCTATTCCAGGGGGGGGGGGGGGAGCGCCCCCTTGCCCCCCTCGCGACGCCCATGGGTGAACTAAGTCTCAAATTAACGGAACTCTTCTCTGCATGCTAGTCGGAAGGAAAAAACTCTTCAAAAAAATGCATCAGCTCACAGAGCCTCCCGTCCTCGTAATTGTTTGCATCCCAAGAAATGTAAAGAAATGAGGAACGGCCCTGATGGTGCTGATAGCGAGTCCCACTCCTTGATAAACTCTGATTCACGGCAGCAACTCTCTTGGAATAATAATTATCCTACAACAAATTAATATCGACGATTTATTTCCTGACCGGTTTTCCTTGGCCTTGCTATTTTCTCAGCCATAAAATCACTTCTCAAAGAATTAAATTCTGTGCTTAATAAGAATTCCTGGTGGCGGCCATTCTCCTTCCCATTTTATTTTTTGATGTAGTAGCGGCATGTATGATTACGCCCCTTCCCAATAAACCCGTGGCACTTTTGCCTTCGCCGCGGCGCTTTTGCTTTCGCCGTGGCGCTTTTGCGCTTGCCGTGGCGCTTTTGCGCTTGCCGTGGCGCTTTTGCGCTTGCCGCGGCGCTTTTTGTTTTGCCGTGGCGCTTTTTCTTTTGCCGTGGCGCTTTTTGTTTTGCCGTGGCGCTTTTTCTTTTGCCGCGGCGCTTTTTGTTTTGCCGTGGCGCTTTTTCTTTTGCCGTGGCGCTTTTGCGCTTGCCGTGGCGCTGTTGCGCTTGCCGCGGCGCTGTTGCGCTTGCCGCGGCGCTTTTGCGCTTGCCGTGGCGCTTTTGCTTTTGCCGTGACAGTTGTGGGCCACCGTAATAGGGGGATAATGTACCGCTGCAGAACGAATTCTGCCGAAGTAACATTATGGAATAATCGTAATGTTTTATTTGCAATGTCAACAATTGTCTTATATCCTCCACATGTTTATGGGAAGGCCTTCTGTATCAATAGTTCCATGTTTTACCCAGGCAACGCAATCAATGGGTATGGGCCTCCGAGAGTTTCGCGTTTTACACAGGCAGAATCAAAATTAAAAATCATCACAATGTTTTAATTTTAATCTGGATAAGTGTATTATATTCTCAACAACTCCTCTGATTTTTTTCTTTCCGAAATTCACCCGAGAAGACCTTTTAAAATGAGAGTTCCGCGTTTTACCCACCTAGGTTTTTTTGTGCAAATAGGCCTATTGCACGGTATGTGCAGTATACGCGTACTGGCTCCGACGCCGTAGGAGGGGGCATCTTTATCGATGCAGAACCAACATTAAAAATCGTCACAATGTTTTAATTTTAATCTGGATGAATGTATTATATTCTCAACAACTCCTGTTATTTTTTTCTTTCCGAAATTCACCCGGGAAGACCTTTTAAAATGAGAGTTCCGCGTTTTACCCACCTAGGTTTTTTGTGCAAATAGGCCTGTTGCACGGTATGTGCAGTATACGCGTACTGGCTCCGATGCTGTGGGAGGGGGCATATTTATCGCTGCAGAACCAACATTAAAAATCGTCACAATCTTTTAATTTTAATCTGGATAAATGTATTATATTCTCAACAACTCCTGTGATTTTTTTCTTTCGGAAATTCACCCGGGAAGACCTTTTAAAATGAGAGTTCCGCGTTTTACCCACCTAGGTTTTTTTGTCCAAATAGGCCTATGCACGGTATGTACAGTATACGCGTACTTGCTCCGATGCCGTAGGAGGGGGCATATTTAGCGCTGCAGAACCAACATTAAAAATCGTCACAATGTTTTAATTTTAATCTGGATAAATATATTATATTCTCAACAACTCCTGTGATTTTTTTCTTTCGCAAAATCACCCGGGAAGACCTTTTAAAATGAGAGTTCCGCGTTTTACCCACCTAGGTTTTTTTCTGCAAATAGGCCTATGCACGGTATGTGCAGCATACGCAATACTGGCTCCGATGCCGTAGGAGGGGGCATCTTTAGCGCTGCAGAACCAACATTAAAAATCATTAGAATGTTTTAATTTTAATCTGGATAAGTGTATTATATTCTCAACAACTCCTGTGATTTTTTTTTTTCGGAAATTCACCCGGGAAGACCGTTTAAAATGAGAGTTCCGCGTTTTACCCACCTAGGTTTTTTGTGCAAATAGGCCTATGCACGGTATGTGCAGTATACGCGTACTGGCTCCGATGCCGTAGGAGGGGGCATCTTTAGCGCTGCAGAACCAACATTAAATATCGTCACAATGTTTTAATTTTAATGTGGATAAATGTATTATATTCTCAACAACTCCTGTGATTTTTTTCTTTCGCAAAATCACCCGGGAAGACCTTTTAAAATGAGAGTTCCGCGTTTTACCCACCTAGGATTTTTGTGCAAATAGGCCCAATTGCACGGTATATGCAGTATACGCGATACTGGCTCCGATGCCGTAGGAGGGGGCATCTTTAGCGCTGCAGAAGCAACATTAAAAATCGTCACAATGTTTTAATTTTCATCTGGATGAATGTATTATATTCTCAACAACTCCTGTGATTTTTTTCTTTCCGAAATTTACCCGGGAAGACCTTTTAAAATGAGAGTTCCGCGTTTTACCCACCTAGGTTTTTTTGTGCAAATAGGCCTATGCACGGTATGTGCAGTATACGCGTACTGGCTCCGATGCTGTGGGAGGGGGCATATTTATCGCTGCAGAACCAACATTAAAAATCGTCACAATCTTTTAATTTTAATCTGGATAAATGTATTATATTCTCAACAACTCCTGTGATTTTTTTCTTTCGGAAATTCACCCGGGAAGACCTTTTAAAATGAGAGTTCCGCGTTTTACCCA